CAACCTGTATTTTATCCGCCTCATTTACAGCTATTCTAACAGGGAATACAAAGCAATATAGAGGCGATGGAGACGAGAAATCTTGAGTCATCGAATTACGGCTCGTGGTCGTTAGAATGGCGGGAGCCGACACGATATTAGTCCATTAGGCCTTAGTTTAGCAAGAATTCCTTCAATTCTTTTATTTGCCTCTCTAAATTTTCAACACGTTCTTCCGTCGCGCTGCAGCTATGTTTGATGACGGCATTTTTGACCTCATTTTTTATCAATGTAGTACAATGTAGCAGAGAGTAAATCCCTTCTACCAAGTCGTCCATCGTCCTATAAAGATTTTCAATCTTGACCTCGACTTTCATCATTGCCATAAGGGCCATGGTTGACACGCGGTTTCCTTCATTTTCTGAGAGCTCTATGATTTCATGGCAATGCTTTTGAAGCATGCCGGTGCTGCGTTTTCCATTTTTAATTACAAGGTCTACTATTTCTCCTAGTTTACCTTCATATTGTACATCATCCCTTATGATACGACGTTTGCGTCTCTCATTATCCTCGCGTTTGCCGTCCGATGATCGGGATCCAGATTTCGCCATGTGACACGTTGGATCTGGTCGCATCGTCCTAACCTCCCAGGCTAGTGAGGTTGGTCGCTGTGGGGGAGGCGTGTTCTCATACTCCCACTTGATCAGCAGCCACTCGATGAGCTTACGGAAGTCTTTCGTGTAACGCTCAAGCATCAAAATGGCTTCCTGTAAAAACGTGAGGTACGGTAATAAAAGAAAGTTACTGTAATGTTTCTATTAGTTCAGGTTCAAACGGACGAGTTTATTGATTCATTGACGGTAACTTCCAATTGGGTGTTTGGGTCATTAGGCTTGGTCCAAGTTCAAAGTTTTATTAAAGTAGAACAGTAGAACAGCAGAACAGAGCAGAGGAGGGAAGTTCTCCNCATCAGAATGGCTAGATATAAAATAGGAGAAATTAATAAGCAATCACACCCAAGAAATTAGAGCCAATTCAGCTCGAGAATCAAAATGTCATCCTGGAAAAGGATGAGGAAAAACAGAGTAACTACATTTGCCATATATGAGCATAATTTGAGATTGAAAGTGTTATAACGACAAAAATATTATGTCATTATAAATAATATATATGCTATAATGACCAAGTTATATTCGTCCTTATAGGTGGTTGGAGTTATACAATCTGTGGATATTCGGGCTTCCGGCATCCACAGCTTTTTGGCCAAAAACACATCATTATTTCCACATTATTAGATGACGTAGTCATCATTCGATGGTGATTTACTAAATCTTTGTTAATTAGGGCTACCTCTCGACAACCGAGGCTCCATTAACTAGCTTGATAAGCATTCCTCCTATGTCGATTGCTAGCTACCGGAATGCAATTGATCACATAAAATTTACTGGAATTAAGTGGGATATTATTGTGATTAATATGTGCATCTTAAGGTGTTTCGAATTCATGTTTTCACAGTTACAAGTGACATGATTATAAGATCGTTGTCGCGGAAATCTGGCGCTGCTACATGTTTTTTTTTTTTTGTAGTAAAGCCACGTGTTTTGATAATGACTGTTTAGTTATTGTTAAAATCTGAACTAAAACTAAAAATTATTGCTTAGTTATGTTTAATAACTAAAACTAATGACTGTTTAGTTATTGCTAATAACTAAACAATAACTAAAAGTTATTGTTAATAACTGCGAAAATTATGTTTACAGTATTTATGATTCGATGCTCGAAATACGTAACGTTGCATTTATATTTCTTACACTATACCATGTTATAAATAAATCAGTAACATTTTTTCCTCTCCTGTAAGGAAGAGGGATTTTGTATTTATTGATAAATGATAACTACCATTGATGCAAATATATTTCACAATCACGAAGGTTAATATTTACTATCAACCCACTTGACGCCATATAAAAAAATATAGCTTGACGGTCAACAAAAATCCTTAAAACGGAATATTTGATTGGTGATGAAAAACATTACAATTTTGCTGTGAACTTGTACTGGTTGACGATATAATTTGACTTAAATCCACACTTTAGACAACTTAGATCGGATACTTTTTTGTACGAAGAGACCAATTTAGATACGCATAACTGTCTATTTTCAGCAAAGTTAATGATTAATAAACATGGTAAAGTTTTTTTAATTAAATTTGCTCCTGCTTCTTCTCCGCGTAACGAACGGCCAGGTTCAGTTGCTGATTTGTAGCTACACTTCTGAGTTCTGAGTGGCTTGCATTCTGCAGATCGGTTAATGAACGTGAAATTATTGCCACTACACGAAGCAATCGTTGAGTGAAGCAAACTTGAATTTCTTACGATGTGACGTCGTTTTTGTGTATATTTTTAATCTGACCTCTCGACAATCGTGTCAAGCCTAAAATTCCTCTATTTTCTGAATAAAGTTCAAACACGTACCATTGGCAGCTTATTTACCCAATTGAAGCTCCTTTACTGGACATAAGCGGAATAAATTTCAGATGTTGAGCGTTCTATTTGTCGAAAAGCGTTGTTGGGTTCTATGTTATTAAGTCAACTCTCCTCCCTTGTGAATCAAGTCACGTAAAATTCACGAATCGGCAACAGGCCATGGACCTATTTCTTCAGTGCCGACACTTCTATTCTATTCTAACATATAGGAACTTCACAATCAATGCCGCTCCCCCATTTGGTTCTCAGAATTTACATTTAATTTGCAATTGCTACTAAGTTTTGTAAAAGATGAACTGCGATAATAAATTAGTTATTAAATGTATTTCAGATTAGTTTATGCGAGAACTCATCTTAAATTAATCTTATGTCATAAAAAAATCAAACTCCAGTCACAGTATGGACATATTGAAGGATAAGAACGATGAGCCTTGAACCATTTCGGCATTTATTTAAGGTACACTCGCTTAAAACTACAAAGCTTCGTACTATACACGTTTCGTCTGAGTAACACGACGCAAAAAAAGTAATACATGGGTGGTTGTTTAAAAGTCAAGTTCTGCAGGTTAGACGTCTTGGAGATTCCGTCTACACAAATGACGTTACGTGGTTTCACTCAATGCCAAAACAGAAGGCTCAAGCATTATCAAATTGTTGTCGTGTACTTCCAACACGTGCAAAAAAATTATTTCAACACAAAAATAAATTCCTTATTTAATCGTCAATCCTATTGCAGTAAGTATTTTCAATTAACGTCAGAAACTACTCGAAATTCATCAGTCGTAAGTATTTGATTGACGCCTGATAATACAGTGAACAAGATGCAGTTTCATATTGATCAGGTGACAACGATCGTGTCGAACAGAAATTCACTTCAAATATATATAGGAGCCAAATAAATCGAATATGAAATACAGTTTGGTTTTATTGAAATTTGGTCACGTACTGAATGAATCGAACATGAAAAAAAGTTAGGTTTCACAGAAATTTGGTCACGTACCGAGGCAATTGCGTAAACGTTCGAAACTAGCCTCGCTTGATTTACACAATCCGCAAAGGAATGGTAAGCATAAAAATACTTGGAGAGATTATGTCACCGCATTATGACCTTATGTGACGGTATCAAGCTGCAATCTCCGGAGCAGAGAAACATTTTGTTCCTTACAAAATAAAGGGTATTCAAAACCGTCCTTGTCCTAATTAAGTAGCGTTGATTTAACAAGGCTATAAAATTAATGTTTTTTGCCAAAGACATGCAGAAAAGATATAATTCGAAAACTTATGAACATCCTAAACGAATAGTAGAATAATTTAAATAGTCTTATTTCTACTTTAAATCGACGGTACAAAAAAGCTACAAGAGTGAGGCAGAAGTCCACTATTCTGGCTGTGATGAACAAGATGAGGTTTTCGGTTGATTGCATGACACCGGAAAATTAACGGCATTTAAGTCTACATATCCAAAAGTTTGAGTGACTGCAACTAGCTATCTACACTTGGTAGTTGCACAGATCATTAACTCGCTACTGCAAGTGAGGCCAGCAGGTTGACATTCCTAGTGCAAAATTTAGTCTTTCCCAGATATAATATATATTTTTTTTGGGGGGGGGGGTTCCAGAGAAAAATGTCAGTAGTTAAGTGTTCGCAATAAAGACACTTTAATACTTCAGGGGAAAATCTCAGTTGTGAAGTATTCGCAAAAAAAGCCGCTTAAATACCACGAAAAGCATTTCTGAGTTGGATAGAAAATCAATCTTGTCCTGCCAAGCGCGGATGACATCTCAAGGTTCACAACAACAACGAAAGGGGAGAAAAATTAACGCCGCTGAATGAAGAACAAGGAAATAATAGGAACCTTATGATATAATGAAATAATATGCACAGTTAAATACATTCGCAATTAACAACAGTATTTCAAAAATATTAAGTGACGCTTCCAAAGTATCCTCTAGAACACAAGGTTGCAGAATAATGGCTCATATCACAGAACTAATCAAACGAACAGCTGTTATTCAGAGATCGACGGAACGTTCTTATGAACGGTTCAATTAAGAAACAAGTTAAATGAATCCTATATCATGAACAATTCCTCTTAACAGCTATTCTAACTGGGAATACAAAGCAGAAGATGTGAATCCGCGATGGTTTGCCATGACCAACATGCCCTTGTGGTAAATAGATTATCAAGCCACAAAAACATGCTTTTCCATTGATGCTAGCATTTCAGTGGGAAGTGTCGTTTGTAATCTGTTGTTATTCTGGTATGGTCAATGTGAGCCAATAACTCTACATTTTTCTCCAATAGAGACAAATGTTTCAAGAAAGATCCAGTAACTTCTCTCATTAAACCTACCTTCTTATTCAAATCTTAATGCCAAATATGCTGGACGAATACAATAACGGAACCACGGGATAGTTTCACGATACCATAAAGCGATGCAAACAAGTACATTTTTAAGATTAAAAACCGCAGCAAAATCAAAAAAACATATAAATAAATAGGACTAAATTGTTTATCTAAGTCCACCCTCCGTCTCCCAGAGTAGAAATTACACAAAGATGCACGCTTCTTATTCATTTTTTATCTTTCCTAAATTCTTGATATCTATAAACAGGAACGATCGGGATACTTCAGCTTTAATACATAGAGCATAATTAGCAAACTTGAGGCTAAAAGTTCGGTGGCTTAAAGCATACCAAATCCTTGGCTGTATTTAATGGCCTTCATGAGTCTGTCCTTGAGCTTCTCTTTGCTGCCGTACTCGGGCAGTAGGAGGACGTTGAAGCACGTGTGAGCCGTCGGCAACCTGGCAAGGGAGAGAATAGTTCATACTTGCCATATTATACTGTGTTATATTATACTGTAACATATATAAAAAAACGGTACGGTATATATAATATACTTCGTTTTAATACAGTAAGTATAGAAATAAACACTATACAATCGTAGTATACATACTTAAACTTATGTCATACATGATAAATAACTTTTTTGCAGATTAGACATTTACCTTCCATAATATGAACTGCGAGAACTACACGATATGAATCATTTTCAGAAACCACAACAGTTATATCAATATATGATGAGTTGCAATGATGGAAATGTTACTTCAATTACCCATATTAACGTTGCAGGTAAAAAAGCAAATGGTTATGATGGAAATATACTCAACTCGTCATCACTCATGAATAAACAAAAATGTAAAGATTGAAATACTCTTAAATAGCTGCCAATGATGTACATAAAAATGAATACGGTATATCAGAAGAGCCTCACCTGTCAGTGTCAGGACCATGCCTGGCGATGACGAGCTTGAGGTGCGCCAGTCCCCCCACCGGAGCCCTCGCCGACCCCGTGGCAAACTGCAGCAGCTGCATCTGCTCGTCTGCCGTCATGCCGTTCACCACCTCCCAGAACCACGTGATGATGGGCGTCGTGCTGCTGTAGCCGTCGTACTCGGCGCTCTTCTCCAGCTGACTGAAGTCGTAACGCTGCACAATAACAGAACGAAAGTTATACTAATAATGAGGGATGTACATAACTGCATGATAATACTAATAATACAATGAGGCATTGTGAGTAACTCGATTGAATGTATGGAAGATTTATTGAGATAAATGGCAATGTCATAAGGCTGCACAATAATTCAAGGGGCCTTGTAACGTCACGTGAATGTATCAAGGATGAGATCGAAATGGCTTCGTTTTTGAATTGTTACAGGTGTTTTGAGGGAAGAAAAATCTTTTTCAAGCAAGAGAATGGATTAATTGAAATTGATTACGAGCCAGGGTATAAAACAGGTCATTTAGTCCAACAAAATTAGGCTATGCAGCCGAAATAATATACCTAGAAATAATATACCTACATATGTAGATTCATGTTTATTTACTTCTTTGCTGGGACTGACTCCCTCACAATTGTTCCTTGGATAGAATTCAATATCGAGAGTGAGAATTTACCCAGGACGAACTATTTTTGTCCAATAATTCATGTTCGTGTCTAAAGTAGCCATTTTCAGCAATACAAGTTCTTGCAAGCAGAATTTCGAGTTCATGAAGACTAAAGAGTTTCGTGAGCGGATATTTGTGTTTTGTGAGAGGTGCAGAGCAGAAGCTCGAGTTCGTCGCAGAAGTTAGAGTTCGTCAAGATGGGCGAGCTTCGTGAGCGGGTGTTACCTTAGAACCGTGAAGCAGAAGTTCGAGTTCGTCGGGACGGAAGTGTTTTGTGAACGGGGATTCATGTTTCGCGAGAGGCGCAGAGCAGAAGCTAGAGTTCGTCAGGACGGAAGCATCGTGAGAGGATATACGTGTTACCCGAGAGCTGCAGAGCAAAAGCTCGAGTTTGTCAGGACAGAAAACTTATGTGAGCGGGGATTCGTGTTACCTGAGAGCCGCAGAGCAAAAGCTCAAGTTCGTCAGGACGGAAGAGTTTCGTGAGCGGAGATTCGTCAGTGACCATCAGGAAGCCACGCAGGAAGGGACGGAACTGTTCCTCCACCATGCCATTCAGCAGCCACGCGCTGTACATTGAAACGAACTCCTGGCAATCGGAGGGTCGGCGTTAAAAAACTTACTATTTGAATGAAAATGAAAAAAATTGCTGGATTTGAAATAACTGATAAATCAAGTAGTTGAAAAATATAGCCAAACAATTGAAATTCATATTTTGGCGACATAAAAATTTATTATCATCAATCAAGTTACGAATCTCAGAAATTAAATGATTTTCCAATAACATATGCACACACCTAGGTATCCTGAATGATATCGTCAACTAAGGTATAGTGCTAAAAATATTTGTAATTACCACCTTGGCTACCAAAATTACCATTTTGTGTGGCACTTCATCTGATCAAATTAGGACTTACATGTTTATTATGTTGACCAACCATGATGTTTTCACCGTCTTCTTTCAAGTTGTGCCACAAGACATCACCAAAAACATCTTGACCTAGACATGATCAACAACACTGCAGCTATCACTTAGTTATTAAAATATCAAGACATCTTGTCCTTTGTCTTGGCATATGTCCTTTGTTTTAGCATAGACGTCATCTGTTTTTATCCTTTCGTGTCTTTTTTAGCCACTTGTAAAGTGCCCTCGAAGTTCGATCCGAACGAGACGCCACGACAATGTCTTCGTGGAATAATAATAATAATAATAATAATAATAATAATAATAACACCAACGCACGGGATTGTGGTGTTGCAGATCATGGAAGGTGCCGGGCTTGCCGCAGAGTTTCTTATAGAGCACAGGAGGAAGATGCAGGTCCAAGATAACGTTGTTGTAAATAGCGAGGCCGAGCACTAGGCCCACTAGTGAGAACTGAGCTTCGCTTTCAAACGACCGGGGGTTGAACCAAACCAGCTGAGTCTCGGGCTGCACGCAGAACATGCCTGCACAGCACACAACCTATGTTAGTGGCAGATTATATTTATTGTGTCCTGAAATAATCCAAATATTTTAGAACCTTTAGCATATTCTAACATACCAGAAAATAATAGAAATACATTGGAACCTCTGTAATTTTTTATTACGTTAGAAAATGATCTGAATACATTGGTATCTGACATATTCTAACGTGTTAACAGGTTGAACTGATGGAGCAAAACATTCATGAAAAGCGTGCTACGAAGATTTTAAATAAGATTTTAATATATAAATTTTTTAATATATAATTTTTTCAAAATTATTTATTCTGTTAATTGATTCATGCATTGCCTATGACTTCACACAAGTGTGCAAAATTTCAGATCAATCAGACAGGTAAAAGTGTGTCAAATATCAGTTATAAGATTTGTAGCTGGCAAAATTATTAAATTAAAAAAAATTATTAAATTAAAAATTTTTTTTTTTTTTAAATCTTTTATTTTGACATTTGATTCATGCATTTTGATTCATGCACACGTGCTTTTAACAAGTGTGCTGTTTACTTGCCGCTCTATGAGTTATGATAAAAAATATTTTTAAATAAAATAAAAATATTGTTTGTGTCACGCTGAGTAATTCCATTTGAAAGTGTCGAGGCTGATCTCATGGCCATGTTTTTACTGCGCTATGACTCCCGTGCAAATTTGTTGCCATTAGTTTCAGGCGCGCAACTTTGAAGTCGATGCTGATGGGAGCAAAACTCTTTCTGTCAAATCGCACGAGTTGGTGCTTCAGGGTACTTTCAAAACTCGCTAAGTGAACGTAAGTACTTACGCTCTGTTTTCTTGTCTATGATTGGTGGACTTTGCTTGAAAGGCCGTCCATGATTGGCTGATGAACTCGCGATCTCGTAACTTTTTTTTTTTGAAAGTATAGGCCCAGAGGTCGTCGTTATGAGGGCCGTATCGTCCAACTTTGACCGTGTTGTAAAACGAGGGTGATTCGCCGTGGACAAGTCGAGGCGAGTCTTTCATTTCTATCTTTGCAACGAAGCATGTTTTTCACACTCGGCTTGAAGTTGGTTTCTTCTAGTTTCAAGGAAATTAGATGAAAAAGTCATCAATTACATTTCTATCTTTGCAACGAAGCATGTTTTTCACAATCTGCTTGAAGTTGTTTTCTTCTAGTATCTAGGAAATTAGATGGAATTTGTCTAAGTCGTCATAGCATGAAGGGAAGTTTTAATGGGTAATAATTTTATGTTATCACGTGTATATTTACGTGATTAAAATGGTATAGCTAATCCATGTATGAAAATTTTAAACTACATGCATCTGGCAGTAGTGTTTAGGAGACCATATTTACCTTGTTAACCTAGTTGTTATGATGTTATTTTATGTAATTAACTACGACATTAAAACTAATTAACGATAATCATATCGCGCATTCAATTCTATTCCAATATGATTCTGAATAAACTTTTTTATCACATTCGATTAATGCATGCATAAGCGCTTAGTCTTGCATAAATATTTTCGTTGTCCGCTAGAGCGGCTACTTCGATAAATTTCGGCGCTGATCGTTACTTGGTCTGTAATTAGTATATTTTTGAAACTAGGAACATTTCTTTTAGATTTGGACCCTTAGGTGGTTGGGGTTACACAATCTGTGGATATTCAGGCTTCCGGCGTCGACAGCTTTCTTGGCCAAAAATCCATCATTATTTCCACATTATTAAATGACGTAGTCATCATTCGATAGTGATTTACTAAATCTTTGTTAATTAGGGCTACCTCTCGACAACCGAGGCTCCATTAACTAGCTTGATAAGCATTCCTCCATATGTCGATTACTAGCTACCGGAATGCAATTGATAACATAAAATTTACTAGAATTAAGAGGGATATTATTGAGATTAATATGTGCATCTTCCGGTGTCTCGAATTCATGTTTTCACATATACAAGTGACATGATTAAAAGATCGTTGTCGCGGAAGTCTGGCGCTGCTACATATTTTTTTTTTTAGTAAAGCCTCGTGTTTTGATAATGACTGTTTATTTATTGAATGAGCTTTTGATAATAACTATGAAATGTTATAAGTTTTTATGTGATTCGATGCTCGAAATACGTAACGTTGCGTTTTTATTTCTTACACTATACCTTGTTATAAATAAATCAGTAACTTTTTTCCTCCCCTGTAAGGAAGAGGGATTTTGAATTTATTGAAAACTACAACTGATGCAGATATATTTCTCAATCACGAAGGTTAATCTTTACTGTCAGCTGACTTGACGCCATATAAACAATATAGCTTAACGGTTAATAAAATTGGTTAAAACGGAATATTTGACTAGTGATAAGAAACATTAAAATTTTGCTATGAACCTATACTGGTTGACGATCAAATTTAATTTAAATCCACATTTTAGACAACTTAGATCGGTTATTTTTTTGTACGAAGAGACCAATTTAGTTGCGTATAACTGTCTATTTCCAGCAAAGTTAATAATTAATAAACATGAGGTTTTTTTAAATTAAATTTTAAATTTGCTCCTGCTTCTTCTTCGCGTTAGGAACGGCCAGGTACAGTTTCCCAGGTAGTTACACTTGAGTGGCATGCATTCTGCAGATCGGTTAATGAACGTGAAATTAGACTTCATTATTAATAATAATAATAATAATAGCGGTTCCAGCGTTTATTAGGCCGTAGGCCTGTCGCTGATTCTTAACATAGCAGAATATTCATAGCTTGTTGCGGTCTCGAACGCGCAACTCACTGATTCAATTCTGCTGTGCTTAACCGCCCGGCCTCCTCGCCGATACTGACCAGAAACAGAAAACTGAAGCTCCTTTACGGGATATAAGCGGAGTAAAATTCAAATGTTGAGCGTTTACTCTGGTCTAATGTCCTACCGTAAAAGTACTCCATAATCAATGCAGCTCTCCCATTTGGTTCGCAGAATTTTACTTTGAATTTGCAATTGCTACGAAGTTTTGTAAAAGACTAACTACGACAATGAATTAGATATTAAATTCACTTCTAATTAGTTTGTGCGAAAACTCGTCTTAAATGAATCTTATGTCATANGGGGGGGTCCAGGGAAAATGTCATTTGTGAAGTATTCGCAAAGAAGCTACTTAAATACAAACTTTTCGTGTGGAGTCATGAAAAGCATTTCTGAGTTGGATAGAAAATCAATCTTGTCCTGCCAAGCGCAGATGACATCTCAAGGTTCACAATAGAACAACAAAAGGGGAGAAAAATTAACGCCGCTGAATGAAGAACAAGGAAATATTAGGAGCCTTATGATATAATGAAATAATAGGCACACTTAAAATACTTTCGCAAGTAGCAGCGGTATTTCAAAAAAATATTAAGTGACGCTTCCTACGTATCCTCTAGAACACAAGGTTGCAGAATAATGGCTCATATCACAGAACTAATCAAACGAGCAGCTGTTATGCAGAGATCGACGGAACGTTCTTATGAACGGTTTAATTAATAAGCAAGTTAAATGAATCCTATATCATGAACAATTCCTCTTAACAGCCTCATTTACAGCTATTCTAACAGGGAATACAAAGCAGAAGATGTGAATCCGCGATTGTTTGCCATGACCAACATGCCCTTGCGGTAAATAGATTACTATCAAGCCACAAAAACATGTTTTTCCATTGATGCTAGCATTTCAGTGGGAAGTGTCGTTTGTAATCTGTTGTTATTCTGGTATGGTCAATGTGTGCCAATAACTCTATTTTTTTTTCAATAGAGACAAATGTTTTAGGAAAGAAGTAACTTTTCTCATTAAACCTACTTTCTTATTCAAATCTTAATACCAAATATGCTGGACGAATACAACAACGGAACCACGGGATAGTTTCACGATACCATAAAGCGATGCAAACAAGTACATTTTTAAGATTAAAAACCGCAGCAAAATCAAGAAAAACATATAAATAAATAGGACTAAATTGTTTATCCAAGTCCACCCTCGACTGTTCCGTCTCCAGAGTAGTAGGACTAAATTATTTATCTAAGTCCACTCTCCGTCTCCAGAGTAGAAATTACACAAAGATGCACGCTTCTCAATCATTTTTTATCCTTCCTAAATTCTTGATATCTATAAACAGGAACGATCGGGATACTTCAGCTTTAATACTTAGAGCTAAATTAGCAAACTTGAGGCTAAAAGTTCGGTTGCTTAAAGCATACCAAATCCTTGGCTGTATTTAATGGCTTTCATGAGTCTGTCCTTAAGCTTCTCTTTGCTGCCGTACTCTGGCAGCAGGAGGACGTTGAAGCACGTGTGCGCCGTCGGCAACCTGGCAAGGGAGAGAATAGTTTATACTTGCCATATTATACTGTGTTATAACATTATACTGTATACCCGGTATATAAATTGTATATAATATTATATCTTGTTTTAATATAGTAAGTTAAGAATATAAATACTTTACAATCGTAGTATAGATGCTTACTTATCATGCCATACATGATAAGTAACTTTTTACAAATTAGACATTCACCTTCCATAATATGAACTGCGAGAACTATATACAGGATATGAATCATTTTTAGAAACCATAACAGTGATATCAATAGATGGTGAGTTGCAATGATGGAAATGTTACTTCAATTACCCATATTAACGTTACAAAAAAAAAAATATAACTCGGTACTCGCTGCAGTGAGTGACAGAGAGCGCATTTTCTCGTCGACGAAAACGTGAAGTCACGGACGGACAGACAGACAGACGGACGGACATGGCGCGCACAATAGTGCATATTTTCCATAAATGAGAAAATGCGCTAAAAAGTAAAATGCTATGATGGAAATATACTCAACTCGTCATCACTCTCATGAATAAACAAAAAATGTAAAGATTGAAATACTCTTAAATCGCTGCCAATGCTGTACATAAAAATGACTACCTATATCAGAAGAGCCTCACCTGTCAGTGTCAGGACCATGCCTGGCGATGACGAGCTTGAGGTGCGCCAGTCCCCCCACCGGAGCCCTCGCCGACCCCGTGGCGAACTGCAGCAGCTGCATCTGCTCGTCTGCCGTCATGCCGTTCACCACCTCCCAGAACCACGTGATGATGGGCGTCGTGCTGCTGTAGCCGTCGTACTCGGCGCTCTTCTCCAGCTGACTGAAGTCGTAACGCTGCACAATTACAGAACGAAAGTTATACTAATAATGAGGGATGTACATAACTGCATGATAATACTAATAATACAATGAGGGATGTGAGTAACTCGATTGAATGTATGGAAGATTTATTGAGATAAATGGCAATGTCATAAGGCTGCACAATAATTCAAGGGACCTTGTAACGTCACGTGAATGTATCAAGGATGAGATCGAAATGGCTTCGTTTTTGAATTGTTACAGGTGTTTTGAGGGAAGAAAAATCTTTTTCAAGCAAGAGAATGGATTAATTGAAATTGATTACGAGCCAGGGTATAAAACAGGTCATTTAGTCCAACAAAATTAGGCTATGCAGCCGAAATAATATACCTAGAAATAATATACCTACATATGTAGATTCATGTTTATTTACTTCTTTGCTGGGACTGACTCCCTCACAATTGTTCCTTGGATAGAATTCAATATCGAGAGTGAGAATTTACCCAGGACGAACTATTTTTGTCCAATAATTCATGTTCGTGTCTAAAGTAGCCATTTTCAGCAATACAAGTTCTTGCAAGCAGAATTTCGAGTTCATGAAGACTAAAGAGTTTCGTGAGCGGATATTTGTGTTTTGTGAGAGGTGCAGAGCAGAAGCTCGAGTTCGTCGCAGAAGTTAGAGTTCGTCAAGATGGGCGAGCTTCGTGAGCGGGTGTTACCTTAGAACCGTGAAGCAGAAGTTCGAGTTCGTCGGGACGGAAGTGTTTTGTGAACGGGGATTCATGTTTCGCGAGAGGCGCAGAGCAGAAGCTAGAGTTCGTCAGGACGGAAGCATCGTGAGAGGATATACGTGTTACCCGAGAGCTGCAGAGCAAAAGCTCGAGTTTGTCAGGACAGAAAACTTATGTGAGCAGGGATTCGTGTTACCTGAGAGCCNAATACATTGGTATCTGACATATTCTAACGTGTTAACAGGTTGAACTGATGGAGCAAAACATTCATGAAAAGCGTGCTACGAAGATTTTAAATAAGGAATTAGGCGTTAAAAATGTATGAATTTATGGTAAATGGCTACATAAGCTGAAGAGTTAATTCAAGAAACACAAACACAAGTATTACCTACGCATTTGAAGAAGTGCCGTAATTAATTCAGCCACAAATTATATTTTTTAAACAACCTACATGTTCATCTAGACGAGAAACAGCTTGAGACCCATGTCTTGTTAGCCAAAACGGGATAATTTGGGACAAGTAGGTTACAGTAGTGGCCACAAAAAAGATTTACCACTCTTTGTCAGTATTCATTCATCTCATACATGTGAAACAGCGCTAATTACAGTGGGAAACTTTCAAATTCCTCAACCTAAACTAAGATTTATATAATCAAGATCAATTTATAAGTTGTCGACATCGTAGAATTGCCAAGTTATACCCAGTAGTTCAGTAGGTAATGCTGGTGGTTTTGATACAAAAAAATTAATATTGTACCCTATACTTATTGCCGACGTTTCTCCCAGGAAAATATACACACAATACCTTCCCTTATCAACCTTTATTGCAGCCTGATTTTCAAAGCGGTTTACCAAAGTCGGGGCAGAAAAGCTGCTCGGTGATGAGCTGGAAGAACTCTTTGCTGACGCCGCCCTCGTCGATGCCTTGCTCGCCCTCAAACTCCACCACCAACTGCTTGCGCAGGTCAGCTGGGCTCTGCATCGCCACCACCTCCAGCTGAACAGAACACATCCAAACAACAAGTTAATAAACGTACGTACATGACAAATAATGTGCATCAATTACGACGGAAACCAGTGACTATTATCATCACCTAGACCAGCGCGTCCGTGATGATCTGGTCGCGTTGGTTCCTACCTCGACCAGCGCGTCCGTAATGATCTGGTCACGATGGTTCCTACCTCGACCAGCGCGTCCGTGAGTCCGTGATGATCTGGTCGCGATGGTTCCTACCTCGACCAGCGCGTCCGTGATGATCTGGTCGCGATGGTTCCTACCACGACCAGCGCGTCCGTGATGATCTAGTCGCGATGGTTCCTACCTCGACCAGAGCGTCCGTGATGATCTGATCGCGATGGTTCTTACCTCGACCAGAGCGTCCGTGATGATCTGGTCGCGATGGTTCCTACCTCGACCAGCGCGTTCGTGATGATCTGGTGGCGATGGTTCCTACCTCGACCAGCGCGTTCGTGATGATCTGGTCGCGATGGTTCCTACCTCGACCAGCGCGTCCGTGATGATCTGGTCGCGTCGCACGCGCAGCCTGAGGTATGGCGTGGAGGGAAGGCCGTCGGTGATGTTGTGGAAGACGGACATGCGCCGCTCTGAGTACATGCGAATGCGGTTGTCGTAGTACAGCGCCAAAGCCTACACATGAAAAAACGGATAGAATTCGATATTGTAAATATTAGATTGTTTCACAAAATAATATTGTAAAACGAAGATTGTCCTGCAATGGTGAATTGGCAGTTGGCAGAACTAATGGATATCACTTCAATGTCTAAAAATTGTTTTACAAAATAATTTTTTTAGATGATGATTTTGTGCAATACGTACCACCTACATAGTACATTAGCAGGTAGTACATGTAGGTTAAAATTATAAAGCTCAAAAAAGTCTTCATGGAAAAATGACGTATGTAGCACTAATAGAAATATACCTACTATATAATTTGATAAAGTGAATTATGAGAGCAACTGCCCAAAATACAAAAGGTGGTAAAAAATCTTTCTAATTATTATTATCACTCTACAAAGCAATTATCGGGGCATCTGATTCAAACGAACTTTGAGGGCATGTTTTACATAAGTTATTTGCAAGCAAAAAATAAAAAGACATAAGAAAGGATAACAAATGGATAAAAATGACTAAGCATTTGATTCATAGGCTCTACTAAATACCTAGTTCCATCTTTAGGCAACAACAAAACACCGGCAACAAAGAAGCCGACAGACCATTCCAAGTTCTGAAGGTGGCAACTGAGAATGATGACCATGTTGATCAAAAATAACTCTCATCAATGAAAAAAACAATTCATCAGAAGCTGAGTGCAGATAACGTTATCTCACCTTAGTGGCAGGAGTGAGGATGTAGGGGTGATGGAGAAAGCTGAATTTATCAGCTCCAGACTTGTAGAAAGCATAGTCTTTATCAACCTCAAGTTGTTCGCTTAGAAATTCATCATAGAACTCAGCAAAAGGAACGGCAGGCTTGAGCGAGTCAAGGGGGTGCACGCCTAGCAGGGAGCTCAGAGGGTCGAAGACAGGATATGGAGGCACAAATGGTGTTTTGTCTCCCTCATTGCCTGCACATCAACGAGAGTTATTAACTTAAGAAGACAGGATATGGAGGCACAAACGGTGTTTTGTCTCCATCATTGCCTGCACATCAACGCCAATCATTAACTTAAGAAGATAGAATATGGAGGCACGAACAGTGTTTTCTCTTCTTCGTTTCTTGCACATCAATCCTCAAACTAAGGAACCAGCAACTCATAGATCCATTGAGACACTATAACATCAATGTCATGATAATTTTTTCACCACCGGTATACCAGGTATGCATGTATTTAAATGTACTGTCAATTAATAGAATTGATGGTAATATCTACAATATAGGCAGTGGCTGATGCCCTTCAATAATAGTGACATTAACTCCAACAAGGATTGCAAGTTAATGCAATGCCTAATAATAATAATGATTTGAATACTGATTCGACAGGTAGGCATGCAAATTTATTGCGTTGTTACATTACTAAACACTTATTATAAAGTAGTTAGTCCTACAGATTTAATCCCTAGTAGGTAATGAATTACCGGAGAACAATGAAGACGAGCAATTTGAGGTGACGGGCAGCATGTCCCTGAGCAGCGGCAGCTCGACCTCCCCAGCCAGGATGCTTGCCATGAACACCAAGTGCATGGACTTGGTGGCGTTGCAGATGGTCTTCTCATACTGCGTGCTTTGGAAGGTTATTAGTTAAACTCATTATTAGGTTCAGTGATAACAATACATAAATATATATACTAAAAATATGGTATAAAAAATATACTTGACTCCTTGACAATTATAATGCATTCTCTGGTCATTAATTGTAAGCATATACCTATATAGGTATTCCTTTTCAACAGGGTCATTAGTGATATCGCAACTTTGTTTTGATAAATAGGCAAAAAATACCTACATTCATTGACTCGATCATTGATAATGATTTACATTTCTGACCGATTTATTTGTATGAAATACATTCTTTATAGGTTCTAAGGTAGGTATAGATGCATTATCATGCATTATTTTTTAATGATATGCTCTAGGTCTAGTTCATCCATGAAAATACATTGCATGCATGAAACACGAGGTCAACAGAGCAATAATAAGCCGACACTGCAAGAGACACTTGCATAATTCACTCATGATAAAATGTGTAGGTATAGATTATTAAGAAATCAACCCCAAACAATATGGCATTTGTCTACTACCAATAGTGACCATGGTAAGTTTTTTATAATAAATATTTTCTGAAATACAACTTATAACACCTTATTCAAAGCCTAATTATTTCCATTATTGATATTCCAAAACTTGAAAGTATTTACTTTAAAAAAGTAAAAACATTTGAAAATCAGACATTAATTAAATGAATAATGCAATTAAAACAAGAAACTCACTTTTCATATTCAGCACCAATGCCAGATTCAGTAGTGATGAGCTTGATGGTAATGAGGTGATGGAAGGCAGAAACAAACAAGTCCATTCTTTCAGTGCTCCAATTCTTTGCAATGTGTACAACAAGAATAGCTTTCTGCCTCTCTCCCAGCAGAGTGAAGAACTCGCATAGGGGCTCCAACAATGATTCCGTGTAGTCATTATCATGTATGAAACATGGATTTTCTAACAAAATTATTAAAACATCTACTATTTTGAGATCCAGTTGAAACTCACTTCTTGATGCTTTGAACTTGATAGCAAAGTGATCTTTTAACAACCTTATTTGAGCATTTAGTAAAGTGCTAACATACTCGCATTCTGGTACAGACTTCAATAGCGCATATGATTTATGTAGATCTTCAAAATCTATAGAAGCTTCAGGAAATGTTTCTTTGAGCACAGTGTAGCCAATAGCAGAATTCTTAATTGAAGTTTCTTCAACAATAGGCAATCCTAGGACTTTTGAAACTTTTTCCTCACCAGACATAGAATCATCATTATCTTTACTAGATGAGGGCTTGACTTCCATTGCATTACTACTTCTATCAACATCTTCATTGCTTAAGGCTACATTACTAGTGTCCATTTGCATGCATTCATCCAAATTTTCAGATTCAGTTTTATCCACAAAGCTATCAGTTTGGAAATATTTATTTGAGTCATCACAGGACATTGAATCACTTTCAGCAGTAGAATCGATATCCTTGTCAAGATCAATTTCATTTGATTGAAATTTTTCTTTAGAGCTCATCTCAATAGGAGATGCACAAACTGAAGCCATTTCTTCTCCTTCTCTTAGGGAAGAAAATTGATCACCCAATTGAGAATCTGAGTCAATGATCATTGGCTGAGTCTCAGAGGTTCCTTGAGCCAATAAACAAGGCTCAATTATGTCTGCTGATAAGTTTTTATGGACTTTTTTAGGAAAGCTATTTTTTAGTGGAATCTCATTTGAAAAAACTGCCCACAACAGCATCCGGAGCTTAGCAAAATTGCCCTGAGATTTGCACTGATCCATAGTGTAAACAAGAAGCTCATAGCTTAAACCTCCTTCCTGTGCTTCATTCTCATCCTTCTTTCCTTTCTTTATTCCATATATATTCTTAGATTGTTTGGCTACTTTTTTTAAAACAAGTTCATCATGAGATGGGTTGTCAGGTTGCGCATCAACTGAAGTTCTAGGAGATATTTTAGATCCATATGATGACGATCCACTGCTGCTGCCAGTTTCTGGAGAAGCAGCAAAAGATACAACACGATTTCTAGAAGCATTAGAGGATGTGGATTCCTCCTGGTCTTTTGTGAAGACCAAACACTCGGGAGCATGAGAGGAGAACAGCTCAAGGGCTTTGACAGCTGCTTCATCACTGTGCAGAGGTGTCATCTGTAACAAATGGGAATACATTAGTTGAAAAAAGAATCAAGCTAAAGGCATGCCATGAAAGTAACAAGATTAAAAGGAAAAACCTAGCTAGAGCTTCAGTAAATCGAGAGAAACAGAAATTTTTAATATCTGTAAATCAAACAAAAGATCTTGATTTTAAAACAATGCTTGAAAGAACAATGAATTTCTGGACAAGACTTCTTTACTAGCTTGGTTAAACTCTATGGTTAAATATATATATATATATCTATATTATATTGTTAAATATAAATTTCATATATACGGTACATATATATATATATATAAATTAGTATTAGATGGCAGAGTTTAATAGTTTATACACGTACGATTGATGACCAGAGAATTAGTTGACTTATATTAATTAATTAGTTGACTTGGATTACATTCGGGTGATTGCAGTAACAACTACGACATTGGACAGCCGTTTCTCCTACCACCAGAGACAAGCTCAAAACCAGACCAGGTCTCAAAGTATTACTGTTGAGCAGCATCATCTCAAGATCGTCGATGTATTCGACAGGCTCAGTTACACCCTCGGCAACAAAATCAAAACCCGGACTATACCGAGCAACGGCTACAGCAAAAAAGCGAGAGTTCTCCAAGAGGCCAGTGTGTTCTATAAATTTTACTTCAAAGAAGGTTGTAGACTTCTTCACGTTATGGATTACATTGGAGTTATTGGAGTGGCAACTGCGACATTGAACTGCCGTTTCTCCTACCACCAGAGACAAGCTCACTACCATACCAGGTCTCAAAGCATCATTAACAAGCAAGTTCATCTCAAAATCGTCGATGAATTCAACAGGCTTTGTGACACTCTTGACAACAATGTCAAATTCCAAACTAAACGCAACAAAGGCCCCTGCAAAAACGCGGGAGTTATCCGAGAGGCCGGTGTAGTCTATAAATTTTGCTTCAAAGAAGGTTGTAGACTTCTTCATGTTTTAGACAACATCGGACAAATTGGACTAACAATCAAGACACCGAGCCACTGTATTGTTAGCTACCTTCAAACTGGAGGGCAGGTGAACTACGCGAGACAAGCTCACAGCCATATACCGTCACTCGCATTGTGCTGAAGGTACTCACCAGCATCATGATCATGCAGTGGCCCGACAACAACCAACCGGCGACAGCTGAACCTCTCATCTCTACAGATTGGACTCCAGCTATTTTCTGACTACCGGATTTGTCTGAACTCTGAAAGAATTTTCCGAGTAATTTTTGGTCCAAAATTTTACTGTTGTATCCTAGTTACTTATATTATGTACTTATTTCCACCAAAATTTCAATGTATAATGCTTCTTTAACTTGAAAATGAATGTTTGTTGCATTCGAAACATCGTGAATAAAGAAAAACTACTTCCTGAAACTTGCCTTTTTATCTACCGTCATCTGAAGAAAAGTTCCACTCCCTGATAATATAAGTCAACTAATTCTCTGGTCATCAATCGTACGTGTATAAAATATATATATAAAGGTATAATTTTGCTCTGACCTTTCCTGATGACACACAATTGACATTTTGACAGCTTGAGCTTCCACATCCTTGAGTGAGGGAAAGATGGTAGTGAAGAATTTTTCTTTCTGCAGTCTTCTTGACATCATCAGCATTGCCAGATGGAGCTGACGTTTGTTTGTTGGACTTATCACAGTCATCACTATTGTTGTCATGATCAACAGCATCTCCAAGACCAGTATCTGGCATTGCAGTCTGAATGAGCACAAGCTACGGTACCAAAATGACTGAAACAGACATTAAAATAGCATTAAACATTATTGGGCTTCTGATAAATGATTGGTACCATCAAACGGGGCAATAAGAGATGGGCGGTTGCCAAGCGTGGAAAACGTCTACCTTTAGAGCCGCAACTAGAGGTTTCCTGCCATTTCCAGAACCATGAGATTTCCGCCAGATGAATTCCTCCCTATCTAATAGTTACGTAACAAAAGTGCACAGTTAAGCCACAAGATTCCAGTTGTAGTAAAAATTCATCACGTTGGAGCCACGAGATTTCAGGAACAAGTAGGAAAATTCCAATCCTGGCAGTTGCAGCGTAAATAAAATAGGGACAGTACTCATGAGTCCCGACATTTGGAGAAATGTTGTAGCAACTAAACTAATTGGAATATTGCAAAACTAAAAAAAGTAGTGCAAAGTTAAACATTTTTCCTATTTATATAGCATAAAGCAAGTTAAGAAATCATATATTTGCCACCTCTAAAAAATCTCTGAATCAAAGTGTGGGAAGTGAGATTTTGGAAGAGTACCTACCTACCTCTGCAGTCTGCTAAGCTAAGGTCTGTAGCAAAATGCAAAAATAATATTTGCCACATTAAAAAATTTTATTTACATCAAAGTTGTTCACAGGTACCTTACTGGCTTAAAAACATACTTGATAAATTTGCTTAACTCATTAAAAAAAAAAATGATGGCCATTTCCGCACGACAGGGCAATAAGCAATATTCCCCCAGGGCCCGCCACCCGGGGTAATAACTTAATAAGGGGCACCCCGGGCCCGCCGGGCACCAGGCACCAGCACCCGCACCCCTAAAAATGCATTTTCAGTAGAACCTTGATTAGCAAAGGCTCCAGTCAACAAAAAAATCAATTTACAACAAAGAATTTGATTAGTACCTACATTCAGATTCTGTTTGCTCAGTGAAAAAAATTTTACGCAACAAAAAATTAATGCATCATGACATCAGACATCACAAAATTGTGCACAGGATTGGAATTTTAATACTTGTTTCTGAAATCTTGTGGCTCCAAGCCTCCAACATAATGAATTTCTTATATGTTTGGACTTTGGAATCCTGCAGCCTGATTGTGCACTTTTGTTAACAATTAGATAGGAGGTAATTCATCTGGCAGTAATCTCATGGTTCCAGAAATGGCAGGAAAGCTCTAGTCATGGTTCATGGACCATGGTCCTAATGATAAGTTTTCCATGCTTGATTGTGCATTAAATTTCATAAATAGAATCATGGAGTTGTGCACCGCCTGGCAACTAGTATGGAATATATCTACTTGGCGAGCCGCGACTGAATTTTTCGAGCCGTGGTTTTATGGATTTGCCAGCCATGATTCCATTTCTACGAGAGATTGCGGAAGTTGAAAATTTTATGAAATGACATGTTTGTGAAGTGCAAACCGCGATTTTTTAATCAAACAAAAATTTATGACATTCACGCTGCGAGATTTCATACCTACTGAAATTATATGATATTAGAGCCGCGATATTTCAGACAAAAATAGGACTTTTCCAGACTAGCCTGGCAACATTAGGTAGAATGAAAAGTTCTCAACAAAAATGCTCAAAACTGAAAAAGTTATCAACAAAAACACTCAAAACCATCCCTTATTAGCCAACCCCCTTTGACAGTAGGTACTTGATTCTTTCAAATGGTACAAATAATTTTTGAATAAGTAGCTAGTGGACTAAAGTCTAAGTGGAGATTTAGCATATTAAAAAATGTTCATTTACAATATTTAAGGCCACAATAAACAAAAAGATAATTGAATACCTATTATAAAACCTTGTTGACAATGACAATTGTGAATTGTCAGAATTGACAAACAATAGGGCGAATAGGCTAGGTATCCAATGTCCCAATGATAACTGCTCACGCTTCACGCCTTCACGGTCACGGAAATAGTCGTAAAATGCCCATCAAATGATTGCTGCACACTGCACTGGACAATATTTATATTTACAACTCAGTCAAGAGTCAACCGTCGTGAACTGTCCTTTCAGCAAATTCAGCCTGATTTAAGTTTCAGGAAATAGGAGCTATAAAGATATCACTAAATTTTTACGACATACAACAACTTCTGAAATGCATCAAAATTCTAAATTACCACAAATAAAAACAATTCATATTTCAACATAGTGGCAAAGCAGAGAGTTTTTTAGACTCTCTCTCAACTTCTCAAGTTCATTTTTGAGTCCTATAAGTAGACCAGTAAACTGAGTAAAGTATCCTAGATACCAGCATTATCATACATAAGAAATTGGTTCAATTCTTGAGTAAATTAAAAATGAACCGATTCTAAAAAATCTGTGGTTTGTCACTATGCATACTGACAATAGATTTTTTCCAAACAATCACTGTGTCTGTAAGACTGTATTTTTTTTTTTTTTTTAATTTGATTTGAAGACTTCGGGTATGCAGGTAGCACACCTCCCAGCCTGAGCAATCAGTGACAAGTTGCATGGCCTTGTGTATAGCAAACAGCTCTGCACCAAGAACTGTGTGCTCTCGCCGGAGCAACCAGCCAGTCGCCAGCTGGGTTGAAGGAATGAAAAGTCCAGCGGAAACAGACCCATCTTCAGACTTTGAGCCATCAGTATAAATTTGGATATGTCTAGGATAGTGTCCCAGGAGAAAATCATGTAAGACTGTAACCATCGCGCTGATCAAGTGGCTGGATTTACCCATGCTATTATGGTAAAGCCGACGATGTCCCAACGAGGAACCTTTGTAATGGTTATTACTGTGAAAAGTGTGAATGAATATTTCAGTCATGACAAACATGTGACACTTGAACACTTCATGTTCTGGCTTGAAATAATTTTTCGATAGCCACAACTTGAAAATTTTCAAATAGATGCATAAAAAAATTAGGAAGGATGAAAGTTAGGAGTAAAATAGGCTATAATATGCCCCAAAATTCCATTTTTTGAGAGGTTGCAGATAACCACTTTTCTTACTTGAGTAGATAATGGCCGAAATGTCCATGAAAACCTCGAACTCGCTTAGTGAGCAAGATCTTCAGCTGTATTAGGTTCGACAATAACGGATATTTAAAGCCGTTGCTTTATGATCTACAGCGATAGATCTCGCCTTTCTGGTCCGGAATTTTCCGCCTGTTAAGTGTGAATCCCCCTCAAAAGAAAAAAATATATAACTCAGTACTCACTGCAGTGAGTGACAGAGAGCGCATTTTCACTTCGACGAAAACGTGAAGTCACGGACGGACGGATAGACTGACGGACAGACATACGGACATGGCGAGCGCAATAGTGCATTTTTTCACAAATGAGAAAATGTTCTAAAAACTATCTCCTAACGTAAGCCTCATGACTGCAAGGTCAAGAGGCTGCAGTTCGGTCAGTGAGATTACCGAATTTCGGCAAATGCAAATTAACAAATATGACAACAAATAAGATTTAATGTATAACTTGGTATAAGTTATAACTTTATCAAAAATGTTAATGTGGTACTCGTTTTTTAAATGAAACAGACAGTCGTAGCTGGTTAAAAAATCAACCAGTCATCTTGAAATTCTTGAAACATAACGATTAATCGATAGACAATTCCCACAGTATTCTGGAACTTCGTTACATCATAAAATCGAATAATTTGACAACAACCAAGATGTAGCAAAAAAAAGTCATACATTACTTCAGTCTTAAAAATATAGCCTTATTGAGCGCTTACTGGATGAAAAACTTATTAAACAATACACATCCTACACGAGAAAAATAAATTGTCGCATACAATCCTTATCGTTTGTTTTAATTAAATTCACGGTCGCAGATTTCGCCTGCTCAGAAAATCAACAGTACACTTCAAATAAAGTGTAATAAAAGTGACCTTAAGTAAAAATCAGCAAAGTGAGCAAAGAAATCCAGGTAAAGTCTGAAAATTTATTTTAGTTCAAAGTTAATGATTCTACATGCGGTAAATTTTCATCGTGATTCTGCACATGAGGAAAAACGTTTGTCAGAACGTGATTCATTTCACTCGATGGCATAAGGGAGTTATCGGTGCAAACTTTCACAATATTTGCACTTTGTTTCTGCTCAACACGTTCGCGAAAATGTCGTGGCAAGACAGGGCTCTCAGGGGCGCTGCACATGGGAGTCGCTGCACATGGTTGCTCATCGTCGAAATACTCCTCTTCTTTGTCACGAGCTTCCACCTCCAATAAATCCAAGTCCTCGTTTTCGTCCACAGCTCTACGCACAAGAGAATAATTTAAGAGATCTCAACATGAATCGTCTTCGAAAAGAGTATTGAAAATGCTTCATGATCAAAGAGTGTCCCACCTAAAAACAATAAATAAATACAAAAAGACAAAATCCGTTAAGCACATTATTGGAAAAAGTTAGTGATTACCGACTGCTATAAAATTTCAAATTAAATTCATGGAACAGAGAGAAGCATTTCGAATGACTATACAGTAATAAATTAGTTTTGCACAAATGATGCCGATCATTAAATTTCAAACGGATATGATATTGGTAACACATTGTTCGTTCCATTTTAACAAGAGAAGAGAGTCACGTAGCTTATTTAATAGACTCCCATTATATTGCCAATACACGTGCATTACCTACACAAATACAAACTGGCTGTGAACCTCGTCTTGAAGATAATTTTCACGAATATTGAACGCGTTCGAATTTAATTTAACCATACATATCAATGTTGGGAACATTCCGGAGAGGATTAGACTGCTCACGCTACATGGTCAATTGAGTAACAGCGAGAAAAATATTAAAATCCTAGTTTAAATTGGGTAACAAAAAGAAAATATTGTGGACCAGTTTTTAACTTTCTACAGACTGCATAATTTGGCAACATAATTTTAAAATGTAGGTACATTTGCAGTCCGTCTATACCTTTTAAATGGGTAACAAGGAGAAAAAATCTTAGTATCACTGCATTAACCATGAGAAATAGTTTATAATCACGGTTGAAGATAGAATATAAAAAAAACCTCACTTGTAGTTGAAGGATTCATCCTTGCCGGAGATGAACGAATGATACATCGATGACATGAACTCTTCCCTAAGCAAAGTTTTGTGATCAGGATGCAAGCTCGTAGCTTCAGCGTCATCATCCATCGCTTCTTCGTCCTCCTCCTCAGACTCTTCTTCCTCTTCAAACATGTCGTCCTCCCGCTCTTCTTGCTCTTTCTGCAACTCTTTTTCGAAACATTGGTCGAGGTGGTCATAGATAATTGTGGTGAATCTGTAAGGTTAATATATTCAAGAGTAGAAGCTTGACAGGATGCAAATCATTAGCCTTAACATTTGCATGCCTTTTCAGAGTTTATTCTGTAGAGTAATAATAAACGTTTACCTCTCGCTCAAGAACAGCGTATAAAGTTATGAATAAAGCGATCATCGGAGGATTTTAGTTAAATAACGGCACTAGGATCACGGAAATACTGATGAAAAAGCGCTATTCTGCTCGTCATGTCCGTGAATTCACGGACGGACGGACATGACGATAACAATAGCGCCTTTTTAGCGCATTTTCTCATTTATGAAAAAATGCACTATTGTGCACGCCATGTCCGTCCGTCTGTCTGTCCGTCCGTGACTTCATGTTTTCGTCGACGAGAAAATGCGCTCTCTGTCACTCACTGCAGTGAGTACTGAGTTATATTTTTTCCATATATGAGAAAATGCGCTAAAAAGCTCACCGGCAATCCGATCTGTCGAAATTCTGCTTCTGTGCCTGGCGTTCGTCCTCGGTGAGATGCTGGCCTACAAGTTGCTGGTACAGTAGCGGATTTCTTTTCTTCATTTCAGATTCGCTAAAATAATCTTCATGATTAAACTCTGTCAAGTTATTAGATTGGTTCGTTCGAGAGGATGATGAGGTCGTGGATAACGAGGCGTCCTTTAATCTCTGAACGGCAGCCCAACGTCGATTACGGACAACGGTTCTGCACAGAAAACGTTTAATTATTAATGATAATAATCATTAATTATAAAAATTATTAATTATAATAATTACAACAATTATTAATCACAATAATTATTAATTATAAAAAATTAATTAAGTCATCACAGTAATATTATCACATGAAAAAAATTTATTATTCATCCTTCATCATTTTGATATGCAATTTTGATATGTGCAATTTACACTTCTTGAGGCAAACACCTGCCTTGTGATTTCTTTCTATAATTAATCAGTAAGTGTCATAGGAATACGCAAGCATTCAATAAATTGAATAGTATCTGCAATTGGATGTTCAAATAGTCTATTGATCAACGCATAATAATTTTATCTACATGTAATAGTTTATTGTGAACTGAAATGAGAAATCTAATTTCTGAACTTTAATCTTCGATCAACACTTTGACTCTGATTACTTCATCTTGTACTATTATTTAATTTTTTGTACTGTTTTTAAACAGGGTTGCCAGACGGTCATTTTTTCCGGATAAATTCCGTGATTTAGTTTTTCTCAATTGCGTTGGCCGGCTACTATTTATGATGGGGGTACTTCCTAATTAAATTTTAAATACTGCAAAATGAAAATAAATGGAATTTTTATAGCGGAACCTACAAATAAACTAGTATAAGGCCTTTTTGGCCTTTTTTGTTCTCGGATTTGGCCGATTTTAGGCAACCTGAATTATGTACCGCTACGTCCTGGAGAAATACAATAAATCATTTTGTGGTACGCATATGTACCACTTCGGAGTCAACGTGTTAAAAAGCTTCTAAATTATAGTCTATTCCTAATCATTTTATGTTTCCTTATGCTCACAGGAGAAGAACATGATAACAATAGGTGATGAAGAACAAAATAGGAAAAAAAACTTGGTCAGTGAAACTCAAAGATCGGAATAAAACTCACTTGTGTTTCGTGTTGTCGAGTTTGGCTCGAGTTTCAGCAAGATAATGCGCGACCAGAGAATCTTGCACAGCTGATTCTTCAAAAAGTTCCAAATGTTCTAATAGTAAATGTCGACCAAATCTGGAAAAATAAATAGATGTGAAAGACGCTCGGTTTCATTCGCTGATTATTCACACTAAACGACTGTAAAAGTGCCTAACAAATATAATTTGTGTAAATATAACACTGTATTCACAAGTTTACATCCCGATTTATTTAGACTTTAGTTAGGTATAAACAATTAAAAAACACCAATCGGTTATTCACATCAGTTGAAAAATTAAACACTTCCTTTATCGATGAATAATTACATCGGGGATGACCTATTCGGTTATTCACAGCAGTTGAAAAATTAAAGGCTTCATTTTTCGATTGACTATTACATCGGGGATACAAACCTGTACAGAAACTGAGAAGGTGACTCCATCATCATTTGCAAGGCAATGGCGATTTTCTCTTCAGTTGATAACTCGGGTTCACCCCGCTGTTGACTTTTGAGAACAACGTCTGTCTTAAGGGCCAGATGACGGGCGATGCGATGTGACAGTAACTCATTGGTCGAAGAGTTGGGTGCCAGAATAGAAGGATTTGGTGCAAGGAAAGTAGAATTTGGTGCATGACCAGAAGATGTTGTTGACGTATGAGAAGAAAGTGCCGGAGTAGGTGAATTTGGTGCTGGAGGAGGAGGGTAAGGATCCGCATCTTCCAATTCACCGAACATTATTTCAGATATTTTCTGTTGAAGAAGTCAAAAAGAACATGAAAATACTGTTGGACCAAGAGGATAACATCCAACTGAGTGGTTCAGATCGAATCGGTTGGTCGTGTAGGAGATGAAGGGTCAAGTGTCTGAATGAACGAAACAGGTTAGATGTAACCGGGAAGAGAAATAATCAAGTAAGTAAGTGTAGAATAGTTTACTAGCGCTTCAGCTATCAAGCTATTTCGCACCGGAGGTCAAAAGTTAACACGCCAGCGAGGCGGAAGGTCTCAATTATTCAAAATCTAAATTAATCATCACCCACCAGGGGCGAGAGGTCTCGCATGTTCAGCCCGCTGAAGCTGGCTCGAGAGAAGCAGCGTTAGCATCTCAAAGAGACGAAGTGACAAGGAGGGACAGGTGAAAAGCAACAGAAACGAAGACACTCGAACATGAGGTCGCTTACACGGGACGTCGGCCGCCCGCACGAGAGAGACAAAGAAGGGAAATGTAAGGAATCCTGCCTACATAATAACTTAATGTAAGGAATCCTGCCTACATAATAACTTAATGTAAGGAATCCTACCTACATAATAACTTAATGTAAGGAATCCTGCCTACATAATAACTTAATGTAAGGAATCCTGCCTACATAATAACTTAACCCCACAACTGAGACCTGCAGTCAGACACCGCGAGCTCAGCGGTGGAGCGCTCAGGAAAAATCCCCCCAGGAGCGCGAAATCCCATAGAACTTCTGACGCGCACAGACACGCGTCATAAGTATCCCCTGAGAGGAAGAGAGATAATTACCTATTGAAAATGAAATGTGATTACCAAAAACAAAAATCCATGCTAAGCCAGACGTCACAAAGAATGAGGTGGATTTCATTTAACTATCAGCTGAAATAGGTTTATAAAGAATCCTAAATTGCCTGAGTCGTCTTAACAGCACGACGGCAATAACAATAACCATGATTTACAAACGTTGAAGAGAACACTAGCAGCGGTAGATGTCGGGTGCACTACATATTGCTTATTTCTGACTATGCCTTATGAGATCAAAATTTTTCAGTTAATCTACTCAGCAAATGGATTGTAGCCAACTTGCATTAACTAAAAAATTAGTACTTATATCATTAGTCTGCTTATATCGCAAGTTCACAAGGAATTTAAAAGCAAAGAAAACGCCAAGAAAATTCATCATATCGATATTGAAAACGTTTTGGAAACGCTCCGAAACGTTTTCAATATCGATATGGTGAATTTTCTTGGCGTTTTCTTTGCTTTTAACTAAAAAATTAAATTAACAAAAGACCAATTTGCATGGCTCGGACAGTGTTTCATGAGGTTGCAAGATGTTCATAGGGAAACATATTCGCTTCCGTTCTATTCGATCCAACTGTGCGCAGGCAAAACTTGCGCAGAAAATATGTAAAAAAAACTATTTATACTTGGCTTCATTTTTTGAACTTCGTGAATAATTTCAACAGAAGCAAACCAAATGACTCATATAAGCGCATGATTAGTTAATATCAAACCTGTGTTGATGATTAGGCATAAATGGTATTAGTGCTCCTGTGATAATACTTGCCTATTACTAATGCTGTTATAATTATGATACATAACAGTATTGCTCTTGATTTTAATACCTAAATATTATTTTAAAAATTCTGTTTGGAATAAGGAGGCTCAGGGACGAGGGAGCGCCGAGAGAGAAAGCCCTTAGTTGGAGGAACGGTTCAAGGAAACGTTAAGCTGTCATCACAAGTTTTATAGAACATCAATAACAACCTTTAGAAATTACATGTTTTCTACTAAATTTCCAACCCAAAAACCATCGTTCACATTAGGAATATTGAGTGATATTCTGATTTTTGGAGATTCATGAATGCCTCAAAAAAATCAATTTACTTGTACGTTCTTTTCGACAGTTTTTATTAATAGTTTGTCACAACGTTAAACAATCAGGCTCTAATGCATAATCAGAATTTTTTTATCTTAAATCAGCTATTATTGTTTATAATATTTACTTCTCAGTTAGGAAGCTTTTCCAGGCTATTGAAGTTGAGGAAAATAGTTAAAATTGCACCCGAAAAACATGGCAATTTATTTGGGGCAGTAACTCGTGCAAAATACAAGAATTGCCCCCAAAATCATATTAATTATTAATTGAATCATGGTACGAGTACTAATATTATCACACGTCAATGATACTTGCAAAGTAATAAACCCCACGACACTTCAATGATACTTGAATTACACCAAGTGCCATAACTTTAAAAGTGTTAACAGCTTATGTTTCCTTAAATCGATTCTTCTCAACTCCCTTGCGTCAACGACTACTAAAATGAACAGAAATTCTAACTTTCAACGCGGATTTACGCAATTGAAGTAATTAGGTATGACAGCTTGTAGTAAATTTACAGAAAAATTTAAGTTCTACGCACGCTCTGGACACGGGAGTTCTCCATTGTTCTTGATGAACACGAGAAAAGGTTTGGGCAAAAAAGGTAGACGCAAAAGTGCGCTCACAGACACAGAAGTTCTGAACATTCATTGTTTTTTTATGAAAATGAGCAATCACGGGAAACAAGCTTTCTGCGCATAAATTTATCAGAAAAAAAATAATTTTTAGTACATGGCCATGCCATCTACTAAAAATTATTTTAAATTATTATTAATTATTTCATTTTTATTTATTAAAATACGTTGGCCACTGACTGCCAGTAATATGCAGTAACCTAGCAAATTTGCCGTGAGTATTTAACATAAATTTTCCATAATAAAATCTATGTTTTATAGGGGTAAGAAGTACGCAAAATACTTCCGTTGCAATACATTTATTGGCCGTCCACCCAAGGCACTGACCCCTTCCCTCAAAACATGTAAGGTTATTTGTAAGGTCCTTCGCATGTAAGGTTAAGTGATAATAATTAGACTAATTTAGTACGTGGGAATAGTTTCTAACAAAATAATAAAACTAAGTATATAAGTTCGAGTCATAAAGATAATTAGGTAAAGCGTTACTCTCTCATATAATCGCATGTTAAACACGAGGCAATAATACGTTAATATCAATAAAACAATACTAGAATAACACGGAAGTTTGTGGCCAACTTTACATATGTAGTCTCACAAGTAAACCAAAGGGAAGGAAAATCTTTGCTGGTTTTCACAATAGCGTGCACATTAGCATACAGTGAGTATGATTTATATTAATAACACAATGAATAAATTTCTCTCAAATGTATTCAACTTGAAGTTTAAAGACGATAGATTGATATCAATAACACAATGAACAAATTGATCTAAATCTTTTCAACTTGAATATGAAAGACGACAACGCGTGAACATAAAAACAAGCAACACGTGATTTAGTAAAGGCTTTCTTCTCGGACGAATCTTTCATTCATTTATTCGTATAAATGAATGAAAGATTCGTCCAACCTAAGCGTCCTAAACAAGTAATAACTAAGCACCTGAACACATTATTATGGTAATATATTCTTGTAATGCCGTGATCTTAAATAACTCGAGAGCTTAACACAACAAATATAATAGATGGCAAAGAAACGCACAGCCTTTAATTAGCCGTTCAACTTGGATATGAGTCAGGATATAAACAGGATATATATAAAGTCGGGTTAGAAACTAGAAATATTAAGTTGAGACAAAAACTAGAAATATCAAGTCGGGACAAAAACTAGATATATTCAGTCGGGACAAAAACTAGATATATTCAGTCGGGACAAAAACTAGATATATTCAGTCGGGACAAAAATTGGATACCGTATATTCAGTCGGGACATAAACTAGAAATATCAAGTCGGGAAAAAACTAGATATATTCAGTCGGGACAAAAATTCTAAATATCAATTCGGGCTAGAAACTAGAAATCTTAAGTCGGGCTAGAAATTAAACTTATTAAGTCGGACAAAAACTATAAATATTACATCAGGTTACGTCGCACATGAACTGGAAAATTTCTGCGACACTTTTGTAATTCTTAATGTAAAATGTTTCAAACAACAAAGCTCAAAATTCGGATAGGCCATTAAGAATTTTGAAAATTATTGACGTGCATATTTATATGCCCATCGTTATATTGTCGACAGGACTTGGTTGATTGTAAGCAAACAACTTCGATGCTAGCGAAAAATCTAGTGCCGGTCACAAAAAACGTCAAAACAAGTGCAGAAATTAACATGACACAATAATTGTCTGATTGAACATATATCAAATATTCCCCAGGTCAAAAAAAAAAGCTAAAATTGAACATACTCCGAAAATCCAGTTTTAAACCGTGAACTAGAAAAAATGGAACCGAAATTCGAAAAATTTGCTAACGATGTCAACGGTTGAAATGCAAAACAATCGAAGCTGCCAGCGGACATAATCCTTAACAACTTCAAAACTGAACAACTTTTAACAACAAATAGTTAGATAACTAAAACATTCATATCGCACAATACGTGCGAAAAAAGCAGCATAAGTCACATGGATTTGGGGGCATATTTTCTACGTGAACATTTGCCTGCAAATGTTCACTAGAAGTCATGGGGAATTTTACGGCTTTGCCCGCACCAGATTCATCAAAAATTTGCAAATAGCGCGATGCTATAAAAAGTGCATCGCTTTCACCACTGCAGGGAGTTCTATACAATAGTTGTTCATGTACTCATGGATATGAGTATGTCGAAAAATGGACAGATACTTCATAGAAGATAATGTGCTAGTAAGTACACTCTGGGGGATGAGGGAGAGTTAGATCAAATGCCGATGCACTTTTTTTTACCATACTGGGTCAACCTGATCCATTACTCAAAAAATATAACTCTGTACTCACTGCAGTGAGTGACAGAGAGCGCATTTTCTCGTCGACGAAAACGTGAAGTCACGGCCGCCAGACAGACAGACCGACGGACGGACAGACAGACGGACAGATAGACGGACAGACAGACAGACGGACAGACAGACGGACATAACGAGCACAATTTGCGCCTTTTTTCCATAAATGAGAAAATGCGCTAAAAAGGACACATCTGTAATACAGTTACTCTCTGCTCGGACTGTGGGCATGAAAGCGTGTCACTTTTTAACCAATATGGCCCCATCAATTACCTGAGTGTAGGATAGAATATTATAACACAAAAGCTGTTGATGCAAAGCCTGGTTATGGGAATAAGGGTCCCAGACGTCAATCGTTAAGTTAATGCAAAAAATTTATGCGAAAAAAATACTGTTTTGCCCTGGCTAAGTACATTGCTAAAAATGCACTGACTTGCTAGCTTACAAATCGAATTGCCCTCCTCGCAAGTCCGTCACAGTAAATAATTTCCTCAAGAATTAATAACAAATATTGTAACAATTGGAAAAATATCTCTTGACATTTTTAATAAAATGACAGATGCATCGAATTGGTCTTGATACCGGTTGTCAAAAAATGTAAGCGCAAACTTAAGATCTATTAAAGCTACATATAGAGACCAGTGAGACGCAAGGTAAAGTTACTAATCAAGGTTTGGGATCGGAAAGAAATAGTTCTCTTAAGAAACTTCCATGTACATAAAACAATAAGGACGGACTACCACGATTCAAAACGAGACCGGAAAAAGCGTGGACCAAGAGCACGAATAATTGTGAGACATGTATTCAATAATTCTGAATAGTAATTATTACACTTGAATGTGGGTAGAAGCCCATGCCATTGTTAATGGAAAAACGTTTTATTAGGTATATTATTGATGGAGAAAAGGTAGCAGTGAGACAAAATACCAACATTGTTGGTATGTCATCGATGAGAAGTGAAGGCTTAGGACGGATAAACCAAAAAATATTCAAATCGGTATTATTTCGCCCTATTTCTGTTGAGGTAGCGTGAGATGCAGAGCAAGTCGAGGTTAATACTTCATTACCCTCTCGTTTGTTACTGTAAAGCGAACGAATGCCACCGGTAATAATTACTGGTACTTTGATGCAAGTGTATGTCGAGGTTATTGTGTAATTACCCTTTCATTTGTTACCCTCAAGCGGAGTCATGTAGAGGTTATAACTTAATAACAATTTGTTAGCTTAACGCGGTGACAAATCTATCACATTCCTTAACATGCATTCATGCAGTAGCCTGCTACCCTGACGCTGTAGCAGCAGGCACCAGCAGCAGGCTACCCTCGTTCTGTAGCAGCAGGCACCAGCAGCAGGCTACCCTCGTTCTGTAGCAGCAGGCACCAGCAGCAGGCTACCCTCGTTCTGTAGCAGCAGGCACCAGCAGCAGGCTACCCTCGTTCTGTAGCAGCAGGCACCAGCAGCAGGCTACCCTCGTTCTGTAGCAGGAGGCCCATAAGAGGGTTGGTGCACGCCTTGCCCTCGTTCTGTACGTAATCCAGCAGCACCTGCAAAATAGCTTGGTTAATTTCCCTTCAGTTCCCTCTTATTGCATCAAATATTCTAGTGCCCCCGGAGTGCTGAGCATTATTACACAGCAATAATAAAGAGATCTGGACTGACTTAGGCATCTGCGACACTTTCACACGCAGAGAGTCCCACAATAAATTTTTTGTAAATAATAATTATAGTCTTCTAGTACATGAGGTGTTTCAAGCAGCTGGGCGTTTATCTCTGAGTGTAGGAATAATGATAATAAAGAAATAATATTAATAAAATAGTAACAATAATAATGATAATGTACCTGGGCGCTCATCACCGAGTGAAGGAATAATGATAAAGAAATAATATCAATAAAAGAATAACAATCTAACTCAGTACTCACTGCAGTGAGTGACACAGCGCATTTTCTCGTCGATGAAAACGTGAAGTCACGGACGGACAGACAGACAGACGGATGGACGGACGGACATGACGAGCACAATAGCGCCTTTTTCCATAAATGAGAAAATGAGCTAATAATAATGACAATATACCTGTGCGCTCATCTCTGAGTGTAGGATGGCAGCGTTGTGCGGGTTGCCGGCGCAGCAGGCGAGCAGCGTCGGGAACAGCACGGTCGTGAGGCGAGGTTCACTGAAATACTGCCACGGCAGAGCACACAGCTGCTGCAGCACCGTGGGCGTCTCGCCGCTCTGCACCACGCACTGAGAATACCAGAAACATTACCTATCGTGAGGGGTAATTCGTTAAATACTGCCACGGCTCTGCACCACGCACTAACAATACCATAAACATTGTCGTGAGGGGTAATTCTTTAAATACTGCCAAGGTAACCTCACCAAGTGTTCCGGACGTAGCAGGCGTAGGAGTGCGTCTTAACCCTCTACCGCCGCATGTCGCTCTCCGGAAACATAACTTTCAACTTAAATAATACGTAAACTATTGAGTATTGCAGGCTAATGTTGCAGGGGTAGTTCGTTAAATACTGCCCCGGTAACCTTGCTAAGTGTTCCGGATATAGCAGGCGTAGGAGTGCGCCAAAGCCCTCTACCGCCATATGTCACTCACCGGGAACATAACTTTCAACTTGAATTATACGTAAACTATTGAGTGTAGCAGCCTGAAGACGTTTGTACGCAACAGAGAACATTTTAAAGTTGTCGTACGTGGCGGCAACCATCAGTGCAAGTCATTTTGCGCTCACTAGAAACGTATCCTTTTTGCAAAGTAGGCTTGTGACAATATTGCTCCGGTTACTCATGACAGGCGGTAGAGGGTTAACATAAATCAGCCATATTCTATAATTGCGCAAAAAATAATCATAAAGGCCATATGGCTCATTTAAAACACAGCTACTAGAGTCTGAAATTCAAGATTCTAATACGATGAGAATTAGAAAATAACCTACTATAAAGCGATAAATGCAAGAGATTCAGTCAAATAAATTCTGGAGTTTGGCCTTTATTACGTCACAAACTGACGTTAGAAAAAGAGCATACAGTAAACATCCTTACAAAGAACATGAAGTAAAATAAATACTAAGGATTGCTTGTTTATTGGCCTTGTTGCCGGTGAGCAAGCCGACGAGTTGGTTGGCAATGTCCAAATCTACACGTGATCCTTGTCATAATTCAGCCCACAAATACACAGAGAAATGAGTGAGACTTTGTCCAAATAGCTCTGAACTTTTTGTCCTAGTGTGGGTCATCCTGACCCAGTTAGGTATTAGGTAGTCTTTCGGCAAAATGGAGTATCAGTCCTACGTTCGTTATCTGCTTGTGCTGTGGTTAAGAAAGTGTCACAATTCGAATAACATTACCCACTCATTGGTCTTAGTGTAAAACGAAAGAATACACAGAATAAACAAATCCTAATAATTCACCTGATTGTCGGGATTGCACAATTTGGAAAACATTACCCAGTTATTGTTCTTACTGTAAAACCGAAGAATACACAGAATAAACAAATCCTAATCCTTCACCTGATTGTCGGGATTGTTGACAGTAAGGAAGCCTACGAGAGCGATGACGTTGTTAAGGATGTCCTCGGAGGGCCAGTAGGAGCTGTGCCATAACAAGAAGCTCGCCACGTGACGCAGCTCCAAGCTTATCCCTTCACTGCCTAGGACTCCCTGCACGGACATCATGAAATGATCAATAAATCATCTTTAATTTTAGATTAAATCTTTCTTTTTCTTAGATCTCATGTTTGTAATGTTCATATACATATAATATCTTCGCTGCCTAGAACTCCCTGCACGGACATCAGGAAATACCCAATAACTGTTCATTAATTTTATATTATGTCTTTCTTTTTCGTACATCTCATGTTTGTAATGTTCATATAATATCTCACCACTAAGATTTTTATATAAAATAATCAATAACTTCAATTTTAGATTATGTCTTTGTTTTCGTACATTTGTAATGTTCATATAATGTCTCACCACAAGCATTTTTTTATATAAGGTAAAGCTTTTTCGTCTGAAGCAGGGCTGAATACGGTACTTATATTTATGCCAGGAGAATTATCGTATCGAGATAAAACCAGGACCAATATTACCTAAATTTTCCCTCATTACGCTAATATATTTCATCACTCACCTGGAAAACACCGAGATCAAGAACAGCCAGGTTGCGGAGAAGGGTGGTAGCAGCTAGGGTAATCTTCTCTATATCAGGCTGTAGTTTGGCGGGCTGTAAAGAACAACTCGAACTTTCCACCACATTATTGCTTGATATTTCAGCCGACCAGTCGGACTTGAACGATGGTTGTTTAAATTGATGAACTGGTGAGGGCGTAGTGACAGGGGTAAATGGTAATGAACTACTCGTACTTGTGGTTAAACTGGATGGGACCGGAGTGACGTTAGTAGAGGGAGATGTTAGAGTTATTGTGTTGGGGGATGGTGAGAGAGTACCGGTGGTGGCGTTAGAGTTGGAGGAGGTAGAAAGATACGCTGAGCGACCACCGTCGTGTAGCAGTAGACCGTAGAGAAGGCTTACTACCCCACACGCGTCCGTCACCTTCAGAGTGCCGAGCAGGTGTGTAGGGTCGCCTTTGTAGTTACTGCCCAGGCTGAGGGATAATGGATGAACTTTAATAGTTGCATTTAGATGGTTAAATGGTTCCGGAATGGTTTAACTGGAGAAGAAAGGCTTAACTTGATAAGAAAGGCGTAACTGGAGAATACGATAAAAAATTTTTTTTAGAAAAAGCATTTCAAAATTGACGGAATATCCGGTTTATTGTTCCTCATATTTTGCTTCCCTTTTCTTTTACTAATAATTACGTCACAACCAAATTCCACAGCCGGAATTGTAATTAAGAAAGGATTACCACTAAATTTTAATTGCCAAAACGACAAACTTGTTATCAGCATTATAACTAAATAATTTCATTAATATCATCCTCGGTGCCCTGAGCACTCATCTCACCTCCCGCAACATAAACCCGCCCTTTTAGTCACCCCCAGCATCCTCCCACTCACCCTTCCAGCACTCCCTCCCGCACTCACCTTTCCAGCATTTTCTTCCCCACGCACCCTTCCAGCACTCCCCCCCCCATTCACCCTTCCAGCATTCCCTCCCACTCCCCCACTCACCCTTCCAGCATTCCCCCCTCCCCCTACTCACCCCTTGAGCAGGGTGCTGACCAGGGCAGACAGGAGCTGCATGGCTGCCAGGATGAGCTGGGACACGGCAGGGTCTGCCTCGATGTCCCCCGGGCCCTGGACGTGTCCCAGATACCAGCTCACCCGGTCTGCTACACCCACCGCCACGCAGTAGCTTACTACGTCCTGTAGTAACGGCAGTACCGCGTGACTGTGATGGCAGTAACATGTGACTGTGGCGGGAGTAACGTGTGACTGTGGTGGCTAAAACGTGTGACGTGTTGTGTTCGTTTGTGTAGACGCTCATGACGGGAAAGGGCCACCGGAATATGAAAGAAGGTATGGGAGTTGTAAAAAAAACGCTGCCACTACGAGGCTGTCCCACAAGGAGGAGACGCTAGGTTGAAGGGAAAGGAGATGCAGAGGAAGAGATGCTGAAGAGGATCCCTACACTCAGTGCTGGCGTTGCCAAGAGTTCGTCCGACTCTGAAGATGTAGGAGCTGCAGTGGTTCCCGAGCGACGCTGAGCGGTGGAACTTGTAAGCCTAGCTTCTTCCGAGGCGACGAGAGTAGATGGAGTGGACAGAACCCTGTTGATTTCAGCGCCTACGGCGAAGCGAACTGCCATCTCACGGTAGTATCAGCTTTGCCTCGAGAGTATCAGCTTTGCCTCGAGAGTATCAGCTTTGCCTCGAGACTGCAAGGCATTATGCCTTCACTCAGACTGGGGCCATAAGGTGGTCGAATCTAGACCAAAAGGGAGGCTTCCGAGAGGAACAAATACAATGGAAAAGAAGGGGTGGCGGAGCTAGAGAGCCCTAGCCAGGATTTGCGCACATGAGAGGTTAAGGTGGAAACACAGTGAAGAACGCCGGTCTGGGTGTGGTGATGTTCGGTAGAAGTCAGTCACGGGGAACGGCGGCGGCAGTAACGTAAAATCTAACGCATTAAGAATATAAAGGCGAAAAAACTGCAAGAAAATTCGCGGTATTTTTTTCGAAACGTTTCGAAGACCAGCTCTATCAACTGGTAATATTAGATAATGAAATTACAATCAAACGGACGACAAGAGTTTACAATAATCACCCCAACAGCACCCGCGCCCCAACAATTACCTGTAACCTGAACCACGCGAAGTCTTGGGTTTCCTTGGCCTGGTTTTCACCGGCGGAGCTGCCGCTGCTGCTCCTGACAAGGGCGCGCTGCGAGGTGCCCCTAGAGGAGGTTCCCCCAGAAGATGAGCCCCCTGAAGGGGTGCCTTTAGAACTATCTTCTCCAGGGCTGTTATTGTTGAGGTCAGACTCAGACACCACCGTGAGCACCTCAGCCAGCACCTAGAGTCGGTATTATACATTAGAATCACAGGGAAGAAGGAAAAGTAATTGTTGTTAACATAATATAATAATATAGCGGTTTCAGCGTTATTAGGCCGTAGGCCTGTCGCCGATTCTTAACATCGCAGAACATTCACAGCATTTTGCGGTCTCGAACTCGCAACTCACTGCTACAATTCTGCTGTGCTTAACCGCCCGGCCTCCTTGCCGATTCTGACCAGAAACTGGCGCACAGAGCTGGGATCGAACCCGCGCCTCTCTGCGCCAATCTTGGTACTCTGAACTTTAACCACTGGGCCACCCTGCCCATTGGCATGTAAATGACAGGTAAAAACATAAGTCACTACAGAATGAAGGATCCTAAAACAATGTTATGATCACGTGTGCATAATAAAGAGAAAAGAAGGAATGTCGTTAGAAGATAGAGGTAGTTTAACGCTGGTCGGACTGCATAGGTGTAACTGTACCTTACTCGGTACGATTACAAAATTATGCAGCCTGACTAAAGTTACAGCATCGAGATTAAGAGAGACTGCAGTATTTGATAATATCAAGAGGGACACAACAGGCGACGTTGAGTTAATGCTGCTTCTTGGGTTAAATAAAGAGGAACAAGAGTTGGTATATAAAATAGTTCTTTGTTACATGATGATGACTGAGAATATGTACATACATGCAGAGGCTGAGGCCTCCACCCCGAATGGATAAATTATACCAGTGCATAATTTTCTTGTATTCAGCAAGGGGGGTTAAATTTTCTACGAGCAAGTGATCGCATACTCACCTTTACAGTGTGGTATATTCACCTCCAGAGTGTGGTATATTCACCTCCAGAGTGTGGTATATTCACCTCCAGAGCGTGGTATATTCACCTCCAGCGTGTGGCGTATTCACCTCAAGAGTGTGGCGTATTCACCTCCAGAGTGTGACATATTCACCTCAAGAGTGTGGTATATTCACCTCCAGAGTGTGGCATATTCACCTCAAGAGTGTGGTATATTCACCTCAAGAGTGTGGCATATTCACCTCCAGAGTGTGGTTTATTCACCTCCAGAATGTGTTATGTTCACCTCAAGCGTATGTACCACGGCGGGGTCTGTAGGTAGCGACATGATCACCGAGGCCCCGCCCGCTACCGAGGCGGGTGCTTCATGAGCGCGCTGTTGCAGACTCTGCAGACGATGCATGAGCCAGTCCAGCAGAGCCACGATTTGGTTAGAGTAAACCAAGTGACGACTGTTGCCAGGATGCCCTGCTACAGCCTGCAGTAGAACTCGGCTACAGAGCCCCAAAGATTTCTCAGGTACCACACAGGGAGTTGGTTTCGTAGATAAAATGTTCGGCGTCATGGAGTTCAATTCTTGGGAAAGGCTCATGGACAGTATGGAGTCAATGTCGTCGTCATCTTCAAGATTGTGAGAAGACCGCTGTTTGTTTTTGTTACTGACGGATTTCGTATTTGTAGATGAAGACTTGGTTCGGTCGGATGAATTGAGCTTTTTCTTTTTGCGATTAGAATTCGTTGAATCAGAGCCTTTAGAATGCTTTGCTTTTTCTCGGCAATTTTCTTTGTTGTTCTCTTGTACTTCGGACGCTTCTATCTCATCGCTACTATCCAATGAAGAATCTTCGCCAGATTTCAGTGAACTTAAAAATTCAATGATTTTCCCAAATCCACCAAGAGCACAGAAAGCTTCCTTGTCTCCAGTGCATTTTTTATCAAGAATCCTCAGAAGCTCAAGTAAATTTTTGTCCAAAGCAGCAACTTCAGCGGCAGCCCAGGGTCCAGAGCCCTGATTTGTCTGCAGTTTTGTGATGGCAAAAAGAGCTTTGCTGATTCGTTTGCTGTTGGCAGACGAAGGTAGCGTTGAAGACTTCAAGGGGCCGTCGTAATTTTGGCCACGAGCGGCCATACGAGCGCGAATTTTGCGACAGCGTTTCTTGAGTGTCTTCTGCCGCTCCTTGTCTCGCGTGACCTGAACACAAACGGGGAAATTTAGTAAACATTCATACGAAACACAATCAATTTTCAGCACAATAACGGAAAACTTACAGCTGACATACTGAAACGGAAAATAAATAAAGACAAACACTTTGAACGTATGTTCATGACAGCAATAGTGATGGTTCAGTGAATCTAATGTACTCAATTAGGTTAAAGCTAACGGCGAATAATTGCAAATTTAATCAGCAGGATTTAAATTTGACATCGTATATTGCGAATGTTCCAATTTACTGCAAAGATAATAAAATAAATATAATTTGACTTAGAGGGCTCGTAACCGCGTGAAAATTGTCTAGGAACCAAAACACAATTAAGAGGAGTTTGATTTTGCCATTATAATAAATCACCTTTGTATCTTCAACATAAACTAAATCACCTGCGGATCCTCAACGTTATAATAAATCTTTTGAGGATCCTAGTGATGTATAACAAATCACCTGCGGATCCACAATGTTACCTGCGGGTCGTCAACATTCTAACAAATCTCCTGCGGGTCCTCAACATAATAACAAATCACCTGCAGGTCCTCAACATTCTAACAAATCACCTGCGGGTCCTCAAAGGGTCCTCAACATTCTAACAAATCACCTGCGGGTCCTTAACATTCTAACAAATCACCTGCTGATCCTAAACGTTATAGGTAACAAATCACCTGGGGGTCCTCAATGTAACCTGCGGGTCCTCAATGTTACCTGCGGGTCCTCAACATTCTAACAAATCACCCTTAGATTCTAGTGTTATATAACAAATGACCTGGGGGTCCTCAATGTTATCAGGAGCGTCTATGATATGCTTGAGGTTGCAGGTGGCGGTGTCCTCCGTGGAGACGTGCTGGCCATCGTGCAGCTCCCGTAGCGCCTCCTGGTGGCGGGCGCCTCTGAGGTGGCTCAGTAGGTACACTTCAGAGCTCAGCAGACACTGGCACAGCGTGCACAACTTCTGCCGCTCATACCTGTCAAAATAAAAGGTTTTTATAGTATTTTTAACGCAAAATCAATTATCAATAACAGATTTAAACTGCATTTTTAACATAAAATTAATGATCAAAAGACAGTCATTGGAGAGAAGCGCCTCTAAGGTGGCTCAGTAGGTACACTTCAGAGCTCAGCAGACACTGGCACAGCGTGCACAACTTCTGCCGCTCGTAACTGTCAAAATAAATGGTTTATATTGTATTTTTAACACAAAATCAATTATAAAAAAGACAGTAGTTGGAGTGGGGCGCCTCTTAAGTGGCTCAGGAGGTATAATTCAGAGCTCAGCAGTCATAGCGTAACATAAAAACCGGATATTAAAATTTCGTTTTTGGACAAAAAAGGGATAATTAAGTGCCATCAAATAATTACATAACTTGACATGGTCGCGATTGCAAGTAAGGACGGGAAAATTCCAGTTTTCAAAAAGAAATGGTAAAGAAGTGACTTCATACGGCAAACAGTTTTCACGCTTTGTTTACAGCTTACAGAACATGAACATTCAATTTCATTACAGACTAAGAATATTTGCGTAACAGTGCTTTGACACGGCAAACGCATAATCCACAAATCTCCACTTGAAATAAAGAAATTTAACCTACAATTTTATATAACAATAGGCATAAGCTATTGATGAACATTGGTGTCTATCGTCTAGCAATAAGGGATAAATAATAATGAAGTCATAACCAGGCTCTATTAGCTCATCATTCTCCTCCCATCCAGCAATTAACAATACGACGATACAATATATCTGATATAATAGTAATAAGTAATATTAGTAACTATATATTACTATAATTAACTATATAAATATATTATTTATATAAGTAAATAAGTAGTATAGTGCACCGGCATATTTTAGGAGCGTCATCACAGCCCGTGGAGCATCTAAGGATTGAAGATTCAAGGGCGCGACGACCATACAATATATCTGATACGGTATAATATAACTATTTAATACGACTATATAATATATCTGAAATAACTAAATAAGTAATATAATGCACCGGCATATTTTAGGAGCGTCATCACAGCCCGTGGAGCATCTGAGGATGGAGGACTCGAGGGCGCGACGCTTGATTTGTTCGATGTTCTCCTCGTGACGGCGGGCAGACTCCTGCTGCTTCAGCAGGATGCGCTTCACCAGCTCGTCTTCCTTCGCCTGCTGCGCCTGGCGCGCACAAAAATAATATTTTGGTGATTTTGTGGAAGAAATTGAATTTGGATAAGATTTAAAATTAAATAAGAAAAAGAAATTAAACTTTGGAGATTTGCTTAGCGGCCAAATATGGCATGGAAATTTGCTTGGTGATTACAAATGGCATGGAGTTCTGCGTGGCAAGTATAATGGCATGGAGTTCTGCGTGGCAAGTATAATGGCATGGAGTTTTGCTTGGCGATGAAAAATGGCATGGAAATTTGCTTGACGATTACAAATGGCGTAGAGTTTTACATGACTATATATATATACTGAGAATGGACTGGAGTTTATTCCGGGCAGCCATCGTTTATTGAATGTAGCAATTACGGGACGTTGGAGCGGAGCCAAAAATGGATTACTGGAATTTTTCTTCACAAGTAAAAATTAATATGGGATGGAGTTTGTTTCTGGCAATAACTGCTGGTTGAATGTGACCGGTAATAATATTACTGGTCACAAGTATGCACTTTAATTGAACAATTAGATGGTAGACGATCTGCTTGATAGGTAATTAATTTGTACATATATTTAAATCTCCAAAGGCATAACTTTTCGGATTACGGGACGACTGTTGTATAGCATTGTCTCTCTTTATTATAACATCTCTCATACTGGAACATCAAACGCGTCATGTCGATAGTTTCATTATCATTCATTACTGTCTGATTTTTCTAAAATCACCACTCAATACTTAACTATCAGCAGTAGTTCTTTCAGAATCAGAGTACTAAAACCAGACTAGCATCAGTCTTCCTTTAAAAATCACCGCCCTTATTCCATAGCCAGCAGCAAGGCAGCAAGTTGCTAGTTACCAGCAGCAAGGCAGCAAGTTGCTAGTTACCAGCAGCAAGGCAGCAAGGCAACAAGTTGCTAGTTACCAGCAGCAAGGCAGCAAGGCAACAAGTTGCTAGTTACCAGCAGCAAGGCAACAAGTTGCTAGTTACCAGCAGCAAGGCAGCAACTTCCTAATTACCAGCAGCAAGTTAGTTACCAGCAACAAGGCAGTGAGACGCTCCTGTCTGTCCCTGGCCTTCTCCCTCGCCTGCTCCAGCAGTTCCTCCCGTCGCTCCGCCTGCTGCCTGTCGATGCGCTCACAGCGCTCACGGCGCTTCTCGCACAGCTCCAGCAGACGCGCCTGAGATGTCGTATCTTATATGATATTATGCTATATGATATTGTCTTGTATGAAATTATCCTATATGACATTATCTTGCATGATATTACACTATATGACTTGTACGATATTATACTATATGATATTATCTTGTACGAAATTATCTTGTAGGATATTATCTTATACGATATTATCCTATACCTATGACATTATCTTGTATGATATTATCCTATATGACATTATCTTGTATGATATTATCTTACACGACAATATTTTACATGAAATTAACTTGTATGACATCTAATTAACATTATCTTGTATGATATTATCTTACACGACATTATTTTACATGAAATTAACCTGCATGACATCTAATGTGAGAATATCTTGTATGATATTATCCTATATGACATTATCTTACATGATATTATCTTGTATGACATATAATGTGACATTATCTTATAAATATTTGTTTGCGTGTGTATTTGAAGCCTGGAACCGTACACATCGGGATATTGCCTGGACCTGAAATTTCAAGGTTAGTCGGAGAATAGAAAAGTATTGCTTAAAGGAAAGGGAGGATAGGGTTAGATCAAAGTTGTCTAGCACCTGGAGTTCAACAAAATTCAGCATTGTCCTTGAACAGCTAAACCCAACTGCAATACTTCGAATTTCACGACGATACTCAAAAATTATTTAAATTTTTTAAATTTAATTAATTGGTCATTGGAATTTTTCTGTAACCCTTATGAAAGCACTAGAAAAACCTCACGTCTTAAAACATCGTGATTTGAATACAAAACTAATTTGAGAAAAAAATTAGAAAGTATCAGCTAGAACTAGTACCATAGATGCCAGGCAACGAGGTCTTGTTAATGATTTTCATAAATGAAGATTTTTGCATCTGAAGGTACAACTTAAGTAAAGAAAATCACATGAATTTCGTGCGATAAAGGGATTTTTGTAAGCAAAATTATAATTTTCTTGCAAAAAATTGAGTATTTAGAGTACGATAAATGATTTTCATACGATAAATGATTTTTGTACGATAAATGATTTTCGTAAGAAAATGATTTCCGTACGATAAATGATTTTTGTACAATAAACGATTTTTGTATGATAAATGATTTCCGTACAATAAATTATTTTTGCACGATAGATTATTTTTGTACGAGAAAACGATACATCGGAAATAAGACACCGTACTTGTCTCTCGGCCTCCAAGGCTCTACGCCTCTCCTGAGCGGCCATCTCTTTGGCCGCCTTCTCCTCCTGACGGCGGCTGCGCTCCTCCGCGATGTCCGCCAGACGTGACGAGTGACTCTGCACGTAACAAAATATTTAGAGTTAACGCTCAAATTATTCATAAAAAAAACAGATACAATTTTCTACAAGGAGCCCTGCAAGCAATAAATAACATTAAGTAAAGCTTAAACCGTTCATAAACAAAATATTTACAATTAACGCTCAATCTATCCATAAAAATCAAGAAACAATCCGTTACGAGTAGCTCTGCAAGCAAGAACAACATGGAGTAACGCATAAACCGTTCATAAAACCATCAGCAGGGGCTGTACAATCAAAAATATTTTTAGGTTTTTAATTTCGTCAGCCAATCACTGACAAGAAACCGGCCGCTACCTTATGTTTTCAAAGATTAAGCATGAATGATAATTGATGAAGCATGTTCAATCTTAAAATGCCTAGCACCTTACGGACCAGGGGCCGTACTTTCAAAACTCGCTAAGTGAACGTAAGTACTTACGCTCTGTTTTCTGTTTTCTCGTCTATGATTGGTGGATTTTGCTAGAAAGGCCGTCAATGATTGGCTGATGAACGTACAATCTCTCTTTATGGAGTGGAGCATCTATGCGCAGGTTAGGCCTGCGCAATAACTTTTTTTTTGAGAGTATAGGCCCTGGCAATAAGTCCAGCAGCTATCTCAATCAATCGTCAGTTATGGAAAGATCGGGTTCCAAAGGCCGGATCCCTTGTGAATCAAGTCACGAAAAGTTCAAGAATCGGCAACAGGCCATGGGCCTATTTCTTCAGTGCCGACACTTCTATTCTATGGAGCATTTCATTCTGAGTTTCAAGACCTAATACACCAACACAATTCCCTGCACTTAACGTAGTTTGTTGCAGGAGGTCGTGCAGTTCATTGTGAGCTTCCTGCCTTCACTTTACGACAGAAATACCGGATACAAAAACACGGACACAATCCCTCCTCACTTGATGTTGTTGCAGGAGATCGTGCGCTTCACTTCATGAAGACTATAAAGAACACAAAAATACACAAATACACAAACACAACTCCTCCTCACCTAATGTTTTTGCAGGAGATAGTGCGCTTCACTTCAAGAAAACAATAAAGAACACAAATAAACGGGAAATTCCTCCTTACCTGATGTTGTTGCAGAAGATCGTGGAGTTTATTCTGCGCTTCAAGGCCATTAATGAAAGCAATCTCTCGTCCTTTGTTGTCCCAAATACACGGAAAATACCTCCTTACTTGATGTTGTTACAGGAGATCGTGCGCTTCACTTCAAGAAAACAATAAAGAACACAAAAATACGGACACAATTCCTGCTCACCTGATGTTGTTGCAGGAGGTCGTGTAGTTTATTCTGCGCTTCAAGACCATTAATGAAGGCGATCTCTCGTCCCTTGTTGTCCTCGTCGTGAGCCTTGGCGACGATGTCCTGTAGGTGCTGACGCCGCTTCTCCTCAGCGCGGTCCATCTTGCGCTCCAGCAGGTGCCTCTTCTCCTCCAGCAGCCGCTCCTTGTCCATGCTTACCTCCTCTATCTGATGATAAATAATAATAATAGTAATAATAATAATCATAATAATCATAATAATAATAATAATTATAATAATAATAATAATAATAATAATCGCTCCTTGTCCATGATAACCTCCTCTATCTGATGATAAATAAATGGCATTAACGTGATTAGTTGACTTGACTTATTGACCTCTATCTGATAACAAATGGATTAGGTCAACGTGATTAGTAGACGTGAGTTATTGAATTGTTCATGTTAACTTCCTCAATCTGATAACAAATAGATGGCATTAACGTGATTAGTTAACGTGATTTGTCCAGCTAACCTCCTCAATCTGATAATAAATAATAATAATAATAATAATAATAATAGTAGTAATAATAATGATAATAATAATAATAATAGCGGTTTCAGCGTTTAGTAGGCTGTGGACCTTACGCCGATTCTTAACATCGCAGAACATTCACAGCATTTTGCGGTCTAGCTCGAACAAATAACAAATAGATGGCATTAACGTGATTAATTGACGTGAGTTATTGACCTCTATCTGATAACAAATGATGGCATTAATGTGATTAGTTCACGTGACTTATTGAATACATTTCGCTTCAGATACACGCGATAAGAAATTGCCATTGACTTGGTATTCCTCCTATCTAAAATATGGTATAATCAATCATCAAACACGACCAACGAGCTCTAATGATTATGCTTCCATTCAGAATCCCAGAAGAAAAAATATAAATTGTCTTATTGGTGTTCCAACTAACTATATAAGAACCAAAAAAATGCATGGTTAAGTGTTAAACACGATACCTATATATAAGTTCAATCAGATTGAACTTTCGCAATCGACTTTATTAAGCTCTAATTAACGATCCCCAATCGAATCTATAAGATGACTTGATTATCAGATACTAGTAATAGTTGATTAATTATTAAATATAACGCACCCGTTTGTAGAGTTCCTTGAGCTTCTCTGTCTTGGAGTCAATGAAAGTCAGTAATTTATTTACATACCAGTAATTTATTTACATTACGCACCCGTTTGAAGAGTTCCTTGAGCTTCTCTGTCTTGGAGTCAATATAAGTCAGTAATTTATTTACTTACCAGTAATTTATTTACATACCAGTAATTTATTTACATAACGCACCCGTTTGAAGAGTTCCTTGAGCTTCTCTGTCTTGGAATCAAAGAAAGTCAGTAATTTATTTACATAACGCACCCGTTTGAAGAGTTCCTTGAGTTTCTCAGTCTTGGAGACAATATAAGTCAGTAATTTATTTACATACCAGTAATTTATTTACATACCAGTAATTTATTTACATTACGCACCCGTTTGAAGAGTTCCTTGACTTTCTCTGTCTTGGAGTCAATGACAGTCAGTAATTTATTTACATACCAGTAATTTATTTACATAACGCACCCGTTTGAAGAGTTCCTTGAGTTTCTCAGTCTTGGAATCAATGAAGGTCTGGCGCAGCATCTCAGCCTTAGCAAGTCTCTCGTTGTGTCGCCGCAGCTTCTCAGCCAGCGGCAGTTTACGTGAGGGCGACGACAGCTTCTCGTGGATCTGCAGTACGCGACCAGGCTCTCGCACCCCTGAGCTCTCCAGCACACCGCGACATGACTCTACATTCTGCATGGACAACTTTGTCGACATAAATGTCTTCTTAAATTTATTGAGTTAGCCAATAACCTATAACGATCTCCTGAGAGGTCTCCAGCACACCTAGACACGAATCTACGTTCTGCACACACATCGTTGTCTTCATAAATGTCTTCTTAAATTGATTTAGTCAATTTATTTAATAAAATTTATTAAATTTATCGAGTAAGCCAATAAACTATAAAGATCTCCTGAGGTCTCCAGCACACCGCGACACGACTCTACGTTCTGCACAGACATCGTTGCCTTCATAACGAATCCTTAACATTTTCAACTTCGTTACTTCAATATAAATAATACTGATTTCCGGTGGGCCGTGCACGCATCAGTACAACTTTAATTAAAAAGTTCTGCGCATAGATCGTTGCCATGACAACACATTTCTGAATTTATTAAGTAATCCAAGAAATTATACCGATCTCCGGTAGGCGAAGCACGCAGGAATACAGGAGTATGAATTAACATTATGCGTATACAAAGCTGCCGATATAACACCACCTTATTGAATTCATCAAAGTAACTTAAGACAAAATATTATACCGATCTTTGATGAGGAACTGCATTGAGACGCGCAGCAGCACGATTTCTGTTCACAAATGGTTGTAACTAAACGAGATTCATGGGTATTGATAGTTTAAAATAACCATGAATTGAAAAGTGAAGCAATGTAAAAAAACTCATCACGTCTTCGTTGAAAACGTTTTGAAGATTATAACCTAAAAAACTTTGTAAATTCAATACTTCGAGTATAATAGACCTGAGTATGGTTTTAAGGTTTATTATGAAGCTCAAAAAATTATAACGTCTATCACTGCGATATCGCATTTAAGGGCCCAGCTGCACGGCTACACGCTCAGGTCATACATCGTTGCGTTGATATGAAGTTCTAAATTAGGAATTAATGAATTGTGGAAGTGAATAACTTAACTCTTAGGATACGGTGACTTTAACTTTCCTCTCGTATATATATACGGTAGCCCTGATAACGAAAGAGACCTTTAGTTAACAAATATCAATTATATTGACTCATTATATTAATTTAAAAATAAATTGATCATCGTCAATGGTATTCATATCTATTGTTCTGATGAAAAGAGTCACCTTCAATAGACAAAGGAAGAAACTAGGGAAAATATCACGTCTATAGAACTAAAGAAAGAATCCAATAATTTATCAGTGAATAAAATGCCAAATAAATTCATCACAATTTAACTGGAAATGTTTCGAGACAAGTTCCATCATTAGTTTAAAAACTCGAGAATATAAATGAAATTAGAAAGAAATGGATAAACTGACTTCTGTGAATTTACTTAGCATTTTCTTCGCTTTTAAATTTGCGGGTAATCTAGGATCTAATGATATAAATATTGAAACTATAACCGTATGCCACGCACCTCACACCAGTCAAGTTCGATCAAAGAAAAATAATTCTATAAATATTGAAAATATAACCGTATGCAACGCACCTCCTCAGACCAGTCAAGTGCGGTCTAAGCAAACTAATGACATAAATATTAAAACTATAACCGTACGCCACACACCTCCTCAGACCAGTCAAATTTGATTTAAGACATCTAATTCAATAAATATTAAAACCATAACCGTATGCAACGCACCTCCTCAGACCAGTCAAGTGCGGTCAAAGCAAACTAATGACATAAATATTAAAACTATAACCGTACGCCACACACCTCCTCAGACCAGTCAAATTTGATATAAGACATCTAATTCTATAAATGTTAAAACCATAACCGTATGCCACGCACCTCGTCGGACCAGTCAAATTTGATTTAAGACATCTAATTCTATAAATATTAAAACCATAACCGTATGCCACGCAACTCGTCGGACCAGTCAAATTTGATTTAAGACATCTAATTCAATAAATATCAAAACTATAACCTTATGCCACACACCTCCTCAGACCAGTCAAATTTGATTTAAGACATCTAATTCTATAAATATTAAAACCATAACCGTATGCAACGCACCTCCTCAGACCAGTCAAATTTGATTTAAGACATCTAATTCTATAAATATCAAAACCATAACCGTATGCCACACACCTCCTCAGACCAGTCAAGAGACGCGAAGATCTCGAGTATGGCCTTGCTGTCCATCTCGAGTTCGTCATCATCTTCTGTGTCGGTGGACTCGTCGCGATGCCGGTTGCCTTCTCTACGCGACTGATCTGCCACGCCTTGGCCTTGCTCAGTTCCGTTATAGTTTAATTGTCCGCTCGTTGTGAGGGAACATGGCTCCGATCCCGACTCTGATGAGTTATCGCCGGAGACCTGTGGTAAACGTTCAAAATTGATAAAGCACCCTAAACGCATACTTAAAACGTTAGAGAAAATGATCATCATAGTGGGTTAGGTTTTGAAACAGTTAGGACTTTGCTCAGTTCCGTTATAGTTTAATTGTCCGCTCGTTGTGAGGGAACAAGGCTCCGATCCCGACTCCGATGAGTTATCGCCGGAGACCTGTGGTAAACGTTCAAAATTGATCAGGCGCCCTGAACTCATAAAGTTTCAGAGAAAAGGAGGATAATAGTGGGTTAGGTTACGGAACAATTATAGGAATCCGTTGATCGAATGATTCAAAATAAATAAAGTAAGTGTATGAGGAAGATAAAAACATAAGCTTCGTTCATTTAAAGTATAATTACCCCTAATGTCAATTGCCCATTATTTTAACCCCGCTTACACGTCGCATATATTGCAATGGTAAACTCTCACACCAAAGTTAAATTCACATATCAGCGATATCACTATGGATTTTTATTAACTGAATTGGGAGCAGTTAGGTCTAATGGCCACATGCAAATGTCACCACAATCAAGTGTTACAGGCCACTTGACGTGTCGCAAGACGTTACGATCGTTATCTTGTTCGTCGATAAACTCGTCAACCTGTCGTGATATACAATCGCTCTATTGTGGCCAGGTGAACGATATATTGCTTAACAGTTTTACACCTTCTTAGCGACACACGAGTACGATTCATGATAAGGTGTTTCTAGGGCATGAAACTAGACTAGATTCTAAAGGTGAACTAGATTATAGACGGTTAGAAAAATAGTTGCAGGCCTCTCTTAAAATAAGTACCAATAAATAAACGTGGCTTAAATTAAAGAATTAAAAATTAAAAGACCACAAAAACTGAGTGTTGACGCTTTAAAGATGCACCGAAACTAACTCAATTGCAGTCAGGCTGAAAAGAAACTTGTTAAATTATTGTTTAAAATACATATATAGCAAAGCGCCATCAACCATAATTCGTAGCACTAGCAAGTCGACGTCGAAAATAAGGATATGACGCGGCTATCCACTAGGCGACCTGATACACGATTCGTATGATGCAGCTGAAGTGTTCGTGAAATAGATCAGGAAATAGCCCATCAGAGCGTCAAGTGCTGCCATACACTCAAAGAAATTTGTTAGACATTTCCCAAATAGCGAAGTACTTTTTGCCCGTGTGTGGAACATCCTAACCCACAGTTTGGACCGGAAAAAGGGCGTATTAGTGCTACGTCTGTTCAAGGCTCGCACTGTAGGTGTAAGAACGAGTCACTATAAGGACATTTGACCCATTAATTTCTGTGTGTGTGTACAAGAGCGCTTCAGTAACACCCGCTCTCAGGGATCAAGCGAACCAGACGACGTCTGCTCAGCTGTGCGCTCACGGGAGCTATAATCCATTAGTGATGACATTCAGGGAGCCTAGTTTTGAAATTTCCTTGAGTATGAATTGTTGTTAAAAAGTTTTGAATTATTGTCAACAAGTTTAGAGACAATGGTGAAATTGTATAATAATCATCAGCGCAAATATCAAAACAATGATAGTTCGAATGGTTTTACCCTACCTATCAACTTGGTACTCCTGCCGAGTGCCAAGTTACCGTATTTCTCCCCTAACTCGTGAAGTATGTGAAATTATTACAAATTACCGTACATTATTTAATAAACTTAGAAATTTAAGTGAAGTACCAATTGTTTCAAAAATTGAATAATGGAAACGGATGATTATAATATGCAAGAATGCGGGGAAAACGTTAAGAAACAATGCGCTCGTTATATATGCGTGAGATGGTTCCCTTGTGGTCTAAGGCCGCCATGCGTATCGTCCTATGCATATATTAACCAGAAAATGAGTCCAAGGCAACACTGCACACGAGCTAGGACCAACTAGAACACTAACTACACACCACATTAAGCAAACAGATGGCACGGTATATTGATTAACTCAACAGATGGCACTGTGTGTAACGGTCAGTCTCGAGGAGTGACATCGCTTAAAGATGAGGCTTGCAGTGCACAAGTTCTATATGCAGTGCTTGCATGGTGCCATTGTTGCACAAGAAAACATCCACAACCAATTGACCGAGGACGAGAAAAAATAGCGAACCATTGTCAAAGTTATCCTTGCCACATGAAAGCGTTACACAACAAAAAATGATATACTAAATTCCAGATTGGAGAATGCGGAAGTTTGTGTTGCATGATCATTGTGTACAAAATTCATGTCACGACAGAAAGTAACCGAAAAATTTTCAGTGCACTTCTTTCGTTAATGGGATTTCCCCACTAAGCAGGAGCGATATGGATCTTTCCAAGTCGATGATTGAATACCATACAAAATTTGGATTTTACTAGCCAGCTGGTGCTGGTGCTAGTGCTGCAGCTTGCTAGTATGAGCCAACTAACATCATGTGACTTAGAAGTTGGCAGGGAACTGGTTTAGGTGCAGGGAACTGGTTCAGGTGCAGGGAACTGGTTCAGGTGCAGGGAACTGGTTCAGGTGCAGGGAACTGGTTCAGGTGCAGGGAACTGGTTAAGGTGGAGGAAAAATTCTGTGTGTACGCGCATGATATTTTGTATGTAGCTCAGCTACCTAAGGATCGCATGGCTAGTCAGGACATTCGTGACAGGACATGCGTGTTGACAGTTATGGTTGCCCTTGGCTAGCCCGTATCGAATTCAATTAGGTTAAGACTCCGGGCGAGTGGCACAATTGGGCTAACGTGTTCGGTGCTAGGTGGCAGGCGCATGGGACCGATTATAATATAGAGTGAAAATGATCATGATTTAAAGAAAATAAAAATAAATAATGTAAAAGATTGAAGGTTTTCTAAATAAAATTCTATGGATATGATTATAACTAGGCATAAATATACGTGGGTACCAATATTTTTCCTGTTACAATGTACTGGGTGCAGGATTCTGAAGCATCGTTTTCATTTTTTTTTTTGGTTGGAAACACTTAGGCATGCACAACCAACAGAAAAATAGAGGCACAGTTGATTATCCAACTAAATGAAGTTAGGGGCATAAGCTTAAAGAACTTAGGAAACAAGATATTCGTGGAGGTTGAATATATAAAGTTACCGGTCAAGGTTGAGCATGCACATCTGTGCAATTTCTTCTGCCATTGTATTATGTACAAAAAATAATATATTACATCTCACAAATGAATTGCAACAACAATTAAATAATAAGAAACCAATTAACATTGCGAGAGGCTCATAAATGCCGTCGTATCATTCATGTCATTAAATTTTAAACCAAATATTGTTAATTAATCCACAAAATATAGATTAGAGAAAATACTGGCAAGCAAACATGAGTCACTTACACCCATATATCTTAGGTGGTATTCGTGATACCATACAAGTGACGCCACCAAATTGAACAGCTTTTCATAGGCAAGGCATTGTAACCAAAGGCATTAATATTATCAGGAGCATCGAAGCTATGCAGGAGCATATGTTCAGTCTTAAAATGCCCAGCAAATTTCGGACAAGGCAATAAGTCCAGCAGCTATCTCAATCAATCGTCAGCTATGGAAAGATCGGGTTCCAGAGGCCTGATCTCTTGTGAATCAAGTCACAAAAAGTTCAAAAATCGGCAACAGGCCATGGGCCTATTTCTTCAATGCCGACACTTCTATTCTCTCCGATTCTCTAGACGGGGCATTATAACCAAAAGGAAAAGAGGCATCCGTTCTCCTGGACGCGGTTTACGTTGGGAAGATATACGTACTTGGCTCGGTTCAGTAAATGCATAACCATCGAGATTCGAACCCATTGAACCATCGCATGAAAGAATTATATATACAATGAAATAACATCGTCATGAATTAACATTGAAAACTTACTTAATACCTTGTATATGTCAATGTCATGTCATACGTGTAGTTTACATACCTACAGAATGTTCGATGGCATAAAATTAATTGTTTTCACGTCACATTTGCATTGAATAACCGAATATAAATTGAATTTCAATGCAATCAATACAAAAGCATGGCTAGCGGTACAGAATGCGGACAGTTGTATATATCGCGTCTAACTGAAGTCTAATGAATGAATCGCTTGTTTAGACACACCAGCAGAACAAACAACATGACCTGACCTAGACGAGACGAAGGCAGGTTACCTTACAGGCAAATAACGTTAAATTAAAGTTTAATCGACGTAAATTGAAAGTTTTAACGCTTAATAACGTTCTTTCAAAGTCGTACGCCAGGTGGACTTAAGTTGTCCAGCCATAGCTGGACAACAACAATCCAAGTGAGAACGTGCCTGCTTTATCACAAATTGCTTCCGGTACTATATTTTACAAACAATTTTTCTTCTTTCTATTAAGTACTTCTTGATGTGAATAACATCAATGAAAAAAAACATTCAGGATACGTGCTTTCTTAATGCCTAAGGGAAATCTTTACAAAAGCATTTATCTGGATAGTTCGAAATTTATAGTTTTAATCCTTGTCGGATAGGTAGGTATAACTTAACCCTGCATTGTATAACTGTACCTATATATTCGGTATGATTATAACGCTGTGAAATTGTGCAGTCTGACATGACTTGAACTCGCCTGTCAACCTACAACCTACGCGTTCGTGAGACGGAGATGACAATTGACGTCTCTGGTGAATCAGAAGATGGGATGTGTCAAGCCCTTCAGGAAACCAGTGCACGTCATATACGGCTAGACACGATAGAGTATATTCATAAATTATTAAGAAAAGGACATAATTACACAAAAACTTGTGGGATTATTATTAAGATCAAGAATCAGTTCTATTGTAAGCGTTTCGGGTTGGCTGAAAAACTCACATACAAACAACTCTCTTTTGACGTACACGTCTCAATGAAATTCACAACATGTTAACCTTTTCGTACATAACATGAATAATTCTCGTGAAATATTTACGAAGAAGAGGAAATAAGTCTGTGCCCCTGCTACGGCCCGAGGCAGAGGGAAATGAGGGGGCAAAAACACCGGAAAAGC